TGTTGGAGACTGGATGACAGTCAAGCTTACTGTTTGTCAGAAAACGTGTAATTATATTCCCTTTCTAAGGTATCTGTTTCTTTGGCGGAGCTATAACTATGGATTTTAAAATGGATTCAGGTATCTAAAAGCTGAAAAACTGTAAAATGTTATCTTCAAATTTCACATATTATCCTCCAATCTTGAACTGCAAAAATATCTTTTATATTTTATATTTAAAATCTGATCGCATAATTATTAAATCTTTGAGTACCAGGAAACGCACCACAAGCTAATTTGTTACAACCACCAGGCCCAATCGACGTGTGATAAGTGAAGGTTTTTAATTCACAGCTGACCGGTTATAAAAAGTGGACAGCCCAATTTCAACTTCCTTTCGAGTTCTTTGTGTCTGATCTCAGGCGTGTTCATATAAACACATGGTCTGAAAGCCAAAAATATCATATTTTTGCGAGATTTACTGAGTTAGTAAGCATTTGATAAAAATATGGCCGTCATGCAGTATTCTACATGCATGTCAATATAATTTATGGCTTTAGAAGCCTTAAATTAAAATAAAGTATGTGTTTATTCGATTTATCCAAAGTTAGATAGATAATGTTGCAAATTAGACGTGTTTCAGTCATTAACAGAGTCAAACTTTGATGAGGGATATGTCTAATGTGTACCTCAATCGAAGGGTTCAACCATAGCAAAGTCAGCTGGGACAAATACAATAAAAATTAGTGAAAAGATTATTTTCTTCAGTGTCAGTTAGTTCTAGTGCTATTGCCCTTATTATTTAGGAACATAGCTACAAAATTACAGGCAAATTAAGTGTTATATAAACTTCATTTTGTGTGAAGATACTTATTGTTTTGACAGTCAGTTTTCTTTACCAAATAATGGTGCTCTGTTATGATGCTTCAAAAGATTCTTTGAAACAAAATCTAACATATAGATTGAGTTTATATTTTACTTATACATTACTAAGCGGTTCATATCCTTTTGTGATTCATTTTGGATATATTTTAACCAGTTTTCCTTGAGTGCCATGGCAGTAAATGGAATTTTGTATACTTTACTTTACAAATTTTTGTAAACATACCGTCTGTTTATGAACTAATATTTAATTACTAATATTTAATTACTAACACAATTATTTGTTGGTGTAGCTGTATTTTATAATTATTTCTTAACAATCCCTGGTCCCTTTGATGTATAATATGTGTATCTTGCGGGGCAATTGAATGAGTATGGTCTGTTTTAATGTGTTACACTTGTGAAATTTAAAAAATGCATTTTACCAACCATTGGGCTTCTGATGCTAAACCCCCTGGGACTCAAAAGAGTTAATTATCATGGAATACCCTAAAAATTGCAACCGCCCTTCTATAAGTAGTTTTATTTATAGTATACAGCTAAATGCTGCATTAATATGTTATCGTACCATGAGAAATTTTAAACAACAAACAGCCATGTCACATCATTTATTATCATCATGACTCATACTAAATGAACTTCATCCTGCTTGTGACCGTCGGTAACTATTATACTATACTATATACTAATACATGGCTTCTCAGAGTTCTTGGGTGTCATTATCAAACTCAGTGCTACTTCCAATATGGAAATGAGTCTGTGTGTCATGGTTCTGATAAAAAAAAAAAGAGGTTACTCTTACACAGAGAAGGATGCGATCAAGTTATCTTGTGAGAGACAGTCTAGCGACCACCAAGGCACCGGAACTCCGACTTCTGACGTGGGGGGTTGTACACAGTTGATTCTTCATGGGTTTTATATGAGGACAAAACACGTTACATCCATACCAACATACCCCTGAAGCGTAACTCTCCAGCTGGCTCTAGAAGCAGTGCCTGTTCCTTGTTGGCCATGATGTCGAACGTGTAGAAAAGATATTGTTGTTCACGGTAGGATCGGCGGACATCAGCAGCAGTTCCCACCTCGTCGTCTGGTTGCGCATGCGCAATACATGCAACCCCAAAGCGAGACGTTATCCACGGTCAAAAATGTGGAGCGGGTCTGGGCCAGGGAACAATACATAAATGAGCATTGATAGATCTCTGCAGAGGGGGGACTGAAAGAGGTTCGAGGACGTAACAGTGCATCCTGCATGTGACATCATTATGTATACTGATGAGTGAGTCTGACTACAGGTGTCGAGAGGACATTATAGGGGACACAGAATGTACACGGGAGAGAGAAATATAACAGGTGATAGATTGGTCAGCTTACCTTACCTGTTCCCAGGGGATCAACTCTTCAGACACCTCCTATGAAGTCGTTGTTAATGTTGGCAGTATTTTGATGTTCCCTTTCCTTTAGAGGGGCTGCGTGGTCTGGAGTTATGGTGTCCGCCTCGAGTACTAGAGGTCCCGAGTTCAAGCACCGGTGAAGGCTGAATTTTTTTTAATGTTCACAGGGACTTGTAGTAATTTCCCCTGGTCTCTGGCAAGTGAGCTCAGACGCCTGTGTGTATTGTTGCACACGGGCAAAATCCCTTGGCAGTTGAAAATCAAAAAGAGTAGCCTAACGGCAATACCAGTGCTAAATTTGGAGTGAAAAATCGACCCAAAATATTTCAGGATCCTCGCCGGTGCTACGGAGTCCGTGTACTGCGCTGAGCTACTTCAGACTTAGAATTGAGTTAGAAGTAGAACGGAGCACTTATGGGTGCCATAATGTTAATCCGTTGTTTAAACTTCCCTTTCCTTGTAGGTTGGTACCCTGTTTGTGGTACATGCTATGGGCGCCACTTAAAAAATAAAAGGTGGGGGGGGAGGGGGGGGGGGCAAAAAGAAACTCGTTTTAAAGTAGCAGCATCTCATCAGCAGGGACCACAATGCGTTTCATTTTGCTGGTAAAGTTAGAAGTGTGGGCCACCCTGCAAAAAAAAAAAAAAAAAAAACTTTTTTTTTTGCGTGTTCTCCGGCTGTAGACTCCGGCGTAAAATTTTGGTTGTTCATCCACATCCATATCCACATCCACATCTGTACTTTAGACTTGTTACAGAACCTGGGTGTTGCATCCACATCTGTACTTTAGACTTGTTCCAGAACCTGGGTGTTGCATGCACATCTGTACTTTAGACTTGTTCCAGAACCTGAGTGTTGCATGCACATCTGTACTTTAGACTTGTTCCAGAACCTGGGTGTTGCATGCACATCTGTACTTTAGACTTGTTCCAGAACCTGGGTGTTGCATGCACATCTGTACTTTAGACTTGTTCCAGAACCTGGGTGTTGCATGCACATCTGTACTTTAGACTTGTTCCAGAACCTGGGTGTTGCATCCACATCTGTACTTTAGACTTGTTCCAGAACCTGGGTGTTGCATGCACATCTGTACTTTAGACTTGTTCCGGAACCTGGGTGTTGCATGCACATCTGTACTTTAGACTTGTTCCAGAACCTGAGTGTTGCATCCACATCTGTACTTTAGACTTGTTCCAGAACCTGGGTGTTGCATGCACATCTGTACTTTAGACTTGTTCCAGAACCTGGGTGTTGCATGCACATCTGTACTTTAGACTTGTTCCAGAACCTGGGTGTTGCATGCACATCTGTACTTTAGACTTGTTCCGGAACCTGGGTGTTGCATGCACATCTGTACTTTAGACTTGTTCCAGAACCTGGGTGTTGCATCCACATCTGTACTTTAGACTTGTTCCAGAACCTGGGTGTTGCATGCACATCTGTACTTTAGACTTGTTCCAGAACCTGGGTGTTGCATGCACATCTGTACTTTAGACTTGTTCCAGAACCTGGGTGTTGCATGCACATCCATTTCACAGATCTGACTTATTTGAATGCAGACTCTTGGTTCCTTGCCTCTCACATATGCTCTTAGATTTCGAAGAACCCCCCCCCCCCCCCCAAAAAAAAAAAAAATTAAATTAGTCGACTCTTACGACATGCTTGTTGGAGAGCCCGTGGGTCTATTCTTGCTTTATGCAGTTGAGTTTTGAGGTGAGGAACATAAATCTTAACAGCCGTACAGAGATGATCCCGAACTGAGGAAGCGAAACAATTAAACAAAATATATATGAGAGGTGCAGAGACGTTATTTTATAGAAGAATTATAATAACATCGTGGGTATATAAACTGGGTTATGGAGGTATCTTGGCAGAAATGATCTAATCAAGAAAACTAATTAACCGCGGAAGAAAACAATCTACATGCTTTGGTCACGTCGTGTGATGAGGAGGAGTAGAGAGTGCATCGTGACCACGGAAAAGTTGGAGGGGAAGAGAGGCAGAGGGAGACCGAGAGAGAAGATGCTTGGCAGTTAGACATAGCGGCATGGAAAATCGTGCTGTCCGCATCCTTCAAGTGTTTGAGGTTCTGGGTTCTATCCCCGGTAACCCGGTAAGGGCTGGGATTTTTTCACGTGGACTTGGACTTCTAGTAACTCTCCCTGGTCTCTGTGTAGGGAAATCAGACGTCCCTGTGTATTGCTGTGCACGTAAAAAATGCCTTGGCAGTTGGAATTCGAAAAGAGTTAAAAATCTACCTAAAATACGTCAGGATCCTCGCCGGTGCTACAAAGCCTTTGTGCTGTGCTGAGCTTCTTCGGACTCAGACTTGAGTTAAAAGAAGAACGGAGAGTTATGGAGTGCCAATACCTGCAATAAGACAATAAAGGTGTAGAAATACTAGGCACACTATGAGACGAAATGAGCATGTCATTACTAAACAAGTACTGAAAATGGAAAAAAAAAAGCGGTCTGAGAGGAAGAGGACATCTAAGAGAACTCCTATCGATTGCATGATGATGATAATAAAGGACAGCGCCTCCCGGCAGGGCACAAGATGGTTCTAGTAAACAGTATGTCCGCATTTCCGGTATCATGGCGCCTAGTGATGGCAAGCAACAGCCGTAAACAATTTGGAGTAAAGATTATTTCCGTTTATGATTATCATAGAAATAAACAATCTCTCTCTGCTTGGATTACAGACAGTTATTGCAGCTGTATGCGCACAGCGATCTAGTCGCCAGCATGGAGAAAGATATAGATGATTTGCTGGACGAAGTGGAGACTAAGTTTGTCCACAACTACTACAACCCCAAAAAGTCCCCAGCCAGTGCCACATTGAGCCGGGACTCACAGACCAGCACGACGCCTGGGCCCGAGCCTAAGACAGCAGTCAAACAAACGTATATCACATCATTTACTGTCTCAATTTGTGTGTGTGTGTGTTAGGCCGAAAGACATAGATATCACAGACCATCCGTTATTCACAACATATCAAATAATTAAATATCGGCTATCCTCCGAATAACGGCCACATATTATGGCGGCCAAATATTATGGCGGCCAAAAATTCAGCCTAGCAGGGCCTCAGTCACATCAGATTGCGAGTTTCCTGCAACTTTAACTGCGCACTTCCGGCGACTACCACCACGCAGAGAGTATCTCCCGCGCGGCTACGCCTAGCGGGGCTAAACTAGATGACTGGGACTCACGAGCAGCAGCTTTGCTAGTTTAGCCCCTCGGCGTGGCAGATGCTCTCGGCGGTGGCGGTAGTCACCGAAAACTGCAATTTAAGTCGCCAGAAGTCCGCAATTTACATGTGACTGAGGGCCTGTTTTTGGCTGCCATAATATGTGGCTGTTATTCAGAGGATAGCCCAAACATCTTTTTCAGGGTGGACCCAGAAGAAGAAGATATCTAGTGGCTAGCGTGTCCCATGTCAACCTCTCCATGGGTAGGCTGCTGTCGAAACACTGCCTACCCCATGCCCGATTGATAGCAAATAACTGAGTCAGCGAGAATTTCATTTTCTGATCAACTAATACTGATGACACAAACTGTCCTTTATGGCTCTGTAGCCTGGACTGCACTTTAAAAAAAAAAACATGGCCTTGTTACAAGCTTTCGAAAATAGTCTTAAGATGGATCTTTGGACCTGTCGACGATTATAAAAAAAAAATATTGGAGAGTGAGAAGCAAAAAGTATAATCTGTTTATATCACTACTAATCATTGGCATCACTACAGGGGCATTAGGTGGGTTGGGGCATATACTGTAGAATGACAGGTAGTTGTTTGTTAGTTGACACTGCAACTGTTTGGGGCATATACTGTAGAATAGCAGATATTTTTATGGTAGGTGACACCACAATGGTTTGGGGCATATACTGTAGAATGGTAGCTGACACTGCAACGGTTTGGGACATATACTGTAGAATAGCAGATAGTTGTATGGTAGGTGACACCACAATGGTTTGGGACAAATACTGTAGAATGGTAGTTGACACTGCAATGGTTTGGGGCATATACTGTAGAATGGCAGGTAGTTTGTTAGTTGGCAACTTTCCATGTTTTCAGGCGACAGTTTTATATTGTGCTGTAGGGAATCACAACCTGTGTGTTGGTAAATGTGACCAGGAATCACAACACATATGATGGTGAGTGTGACCAGGGAATCACAAACCTGTCATGTGATGGTGAGTGTGACCAGGGAATCACAAACCTGTCATGTGATGGTGAGTGTGACCAGGGAATCACAAACCTGTCATGTGATGGTGAGTGTGACCAGGGAATCACAAACCTGTCATGTGATGGTGAGTGTGACCAGGGAATCACAAACCTGTCATGTGATAGTGAGTGTGACTAGCAAGATCTGCTTGCAGTCAAAAACGTCTTCCACAGAGCACAGGAGTTCAGGACCTTTGTTGCCATCTCAATGTATTTAACACCTTTCTTCTCATATGCTCAGCACTCTACCTATAGGCAATCATTTTCTCCTGTATCCTTTTTGTCCCTGATTTCCCGTCCGTGAAGCGTGGTCCATGGCATCTCATCCTTACGAATTTAACTGAATATCCACACACACACACACACACAAAAATGAGTCCAATCACCACACACACAAAATTGTCAAGGCTACAGCATCAACTGATGATGATTTCTACACTTCCATCAATTAACCTGTATAATTGTGTTCACATCTTTAAATCAATTACCCATATTAAAGTCTATGTCTATATAAATTAACCCAGTTTATGTCAGTTCATCTCTAAAGAAAACATATAATTGCTTACATATCTTTAAGATAACATGTGTCAGTGACTAACTGTTGTAGACAATTTGTAGAACTTGCAGAATATCTGAAGCCGGTGTCAGTTGGATGAACATATTTCTGACGAATGTGAATGCCAGCATGTTCATTTATTTCACAGACATGCACTTGACGATGTTATTGATGACATCCTTGACATTGATGTCAATGAAAAGAAACATGTAAGTCTCCATCCTGTGCATTCAGGTGTCCTTCACATGTTTGAGTGTCTGGGTGTCCTTCACATGTTTGAGTATCTGGGTGTCCTGTAAATGGGGGTGTCCATCACATGTTTGAGCATCCTGTAAATGGGGGTGTCCTTCACATGTTTGAGTGTCTGGGTGTCCTGTAAATGGGGTTGTCCTTCACATGTATAGGTAGCCTTCACATATTTGAATGTCTGGATGTCCTTCACATGTATAGGTGGCCTTCACATGTATAGGTGTACTTCACATGCATAGGTGGTTTTCACATGTATGGGTGTCCTTCACATGTTAAGGTGATTTTCACATGTATGGGTGGTTTTCACATGTATGGGTGGCCTGTAAATGGGGGTGTCCTTCACATGTATAGGTGTCCTTCACATGTATATGTGTCCTACACATGTATGGGTGTCCTTTACATGTATATGTGGTTTTCACATGTATAGGTTGTTTTCACATGTATGGGTGTCCTTCACATGTGTAGGTGATTTTCACATGTATGGATGTCCTTCACATGTATAGGCGGTTTTCTTATGTATCGGTGGTTTTCATATGTATGGGTGGCCTATAAATGGGGTTGTCCTTTACATGCATGGGTGATTTTCACATGTATGGGTGGCCTATAAATGAGGGCGTCCTTTACATGTATGGATGGTTTTCACATGTATGGGTGGCCTATAAATGTGGGTGTCTTTTACATGTATGGGTGGTTTTCACATGTATGGGTGGTTTTTACATGCATGGGTGGTTTTCACATGTATGGGTGGCCTGTAAATGGGGGTGTCCTTTACATGTATGGGTGGTTTTCACATGGATGGGTGGTTTTTACATGCATGGGTGGTTTTCACATGTATGGGTGGCCTGTAAATGGGGGTGTCCTTCACATGTATAGGTGTCCTTCACATGTATAGGTGGCCAGTAAATGGGAGTGTCCTTCACATGAATAGGTGTCCTGTAAATGGGGGTGTCCTTCACATGTATGAGTGTCCTTCACATTTATAGGTGTCCTTCACATGTATGGGTGTCCTTCACATGTATAGGTGGTTTTCTTATGTATCGGTGGTTTTCACATGTATGGGTGGCCTATAAATGAGGGTGTCCTTTACATGTATGGGTGGTTTTCACATGTATGGGTGGCCTATAAATGGGAGTGTCCTTTACATATATGGGTGGTTTTCACATGTATGGGTGGTTTTTACATGCATGGGTGGTTTTCACATGTATGGGTGGCCAGTAAATGGGGGTGTCCTTCACATGTATAGGTGTCCTGTAAATGGGGGTGTCCTTCACATGTATGGGTGTCCTTCACATGTATGAGTGTCCTTCACATGTGTAGGTGTCCTTCACATGTATGGGTGTCTTGTAAATGGGGGTGTCCTTGACATGTATGGGTGTCCTGTAAATGGGGGTGTCCTACACATGTATGGGTGTCCTTCACATGTATGGGTGTCCTTCACATGTATAGGTGTCCTTCACATGTATGGGTGTCCTTCACATGTATAGGTGTCCTTCACATGTATGGGTGTCCTTCACATGTATGGGTGTCCTTCACATGTATGGGTGTCCTTCACATGTATGGGTGTCCTGTAAATGGGGGTGTCCTTCACATGTATAGGTGTCCTTCACATGTATAGGTGGCCCATAAATGGGGGTGTCCTTACATTCTAGGGTCAGGTACTATAGTAAGTGGCACTTGCACCCCAGATAGTCATGTACTGTGAAAAGAGGCACTTGCACCCCAGATAGTCATGTACTGTAATAAGTGGCTCTTGCCCCAGATAATCTTGTACTGTGATATTACTGAGGCTACCTGTATTTAGTGATACAGTCTGGGGCAATCAGAATCCACTGCTTCATTAATGTGGTGAATAAGATATTTCTTGATTTTCACATAATTTTTTGCAAAGACAAAACATTTAATATTATTTACAAATAACTTTGGTGAAGAAATATTGTATTTCTGACTGTATTGTAATATCCCTAACTAATATATAAACATATATTATAAATATAAATATATAAATAATGTGAAATTTCACATTATTTCGGGAAGCTGAGTGGTCTCGAGGCATGGCGTCCGCTTCGAGTGCTAGAGGTCACGGGTTCAAGCCCCGGTGAAGGCTAGGATTTTTTCATGTGGACTTGTAGTAATTCCCCCTGGTCTCTGGGTAGTCAGATCAGACACCTGTGTATATTGTTGCTCAAGTAAAAAATCCCTTGGCAGTTGTAAATCGAAAAAGTGTAACCTAAAGGTGCTGCCTAGGCAAAATTTGGAGTTTAAAATCTACCTAAAAGAATTTTCAGGTTCGTCACTGGTGCTACATATTTCCTGCACTGCGCTGAGATTCTTCGGACTCAGGCTTAAGTCAGAAGTAGAACAGAGCACTGATGGGTTACTACCTTTGTGCCGTGATGTTGATCCATCGTCTAAACCTAATCATATATTTCGAAGAACTATGATGAAAAAATATATTTCACATTATTTACACAAAACTTTGGTGGGATTTTGTAAAAATATATTTCACATTATTGAAACAGAGCTTTGGTGAACAAATCATATATTTCACATTATTGACACAGAGCTTTGGTGAACAAATCATATATTTCACATTATTGACACAGAGCTTTGGTAAACAAATCATATATTTCACATTATTGACACAGAGCTTTGGTGAACAAATCATATATTTCACATTATTGACACAGAGCTTTGATGAACAAATCATAAATTTCACTTTGTTGACACAGAGCTTTGGTGAACAAATCATATATTTCACATTATTGACACAGAGCTTTGGTGAACAAATCATATATTTCACATTATTGACACAGAGCTTTGGTGAACAAATCATATATTTCACATTATTGACACAGAGCTTTGGTGAACAAATCATATATTTCACTTTGTTGACACAGAGCTTTGGTGAACAAATCATATATTTCACATTATTGACACAGAGCTCTGGTGAACAAATCATATATTTCACATTATTGACACAGAGCTTTGGTGAACAAATCATATATTTCACATTGTTGACACAGAGCTTTGGTGAACAAATCATATATTTCACATTATTGACACAGAGCTTTGATGAACAAATTATATATTTCACATTATTGACACAGAGCTTTGGTGAACAAATCATATATTTCACATTGTTGACACAGAGCTTTGGTGAACAAATCATATATTTCACATTATTGACACAGAGCTTTGGTGAACAAATCATATATTTCACATTATTGACACAGAGCTTTGGTGAACAAATCATATATTTCACATTGTTGACACAGAGCTTTGGTGAACAAATCATATATTTCACATTATTGACACAGAGCTTTGGTGAACAAATCATATATTTCACATTATTGACACAGAGCTTTGGTGAACAAATCATATATTTCACATTATTGACACAGAGCTTTGGTGAAGAACACCAGCAGAGATTATTGGCTCCTGATGACGCGTGTAAATCTGACCAGATGAAAAGGTAAACTGTTGGGATTTGTGAATCTGTTGGGGGATATTACAGTGTCTTGCTAGTGAATCTGTTGGGGGATATTACAGTGTCTTGCTAGTGAATCTGTTGGGGGATATTACAGTGTCTTGCTTGTGAACCTGTTGGGGGATATTACAGTGTCTTGCTAGTGAACCTGTTGGGGGATATTACAGTGTCTTGCTAGTGAACCTGTTGGGGGATATTACAGTGTCTTGCTTGTGAACCTGTTGGGGGATATTACAGTGTCTTGCTAGTGAACCTGTTGGGGGATATTACAGTGTCTTGCTAGTGAATCTGTTGGGGAATATTACAGTGTCTTGCTAGTGAACCTGTTGGGGGATATTACAGTGTCTTGCTAGTGAATCTGTTGAGGATATTACAGTGTCTTGCTAGTGAACCTGTTGGGGGATATTACAGTGTCTTGCTAGTGAACCTGTTGGGGGATATTACAGTGTCTTGCTAGTGAATCTGTTGGGGGATATTACAGTGTCTTGCTAGTGAATCTCTTAGGGGATATTACAGTGACTTGCTAGTGAATCTGTTGGGGGATATTACAGTGTCTTGCTAGTGAACCTATTGGGGGATATTACAGTGTCTTGCTAGTGAACCTGTTGGGGGATATTACAGTGTCTTGCTAGTGAACCTGTTGGGGGAAATTACAGTGTCTTGCTAGTGAACCTGTTGGGGGATATTACAGTGTCTTGCTAGTGAACCTGTTGGGGGATATTACAGTGTCTTGCTAGTGAACCTGTTGGGGGATATTACAGTGTCTTGCTAGTGAACCTGTTGGGGATATTACAGTGTCTTGCTAGTGAACCTATTGGGGGATATTACAGTGTCTTGCTAGTGAATCTGTTGGGGGATGTTACAGTGTCTTGCTAGTGAACCTGTTGGGGGATATTACAGTGTCTTGCTAGTGAACCTGTTGGGGGATATTACAGTGTCTTGCTAGTGAATCTGTTGGAGGGATATTACAGTGTCTTGCTAGTGAATCTGTTGGGGGATATTACAGTGTCTTGCTAGTGAATCTGTTGGGGGATATACAGTGTCTTGCTAGTGAACCTGTTGGGGGATATTACAGTGTCTTGCTAGTGAATCTGTTAGGGGATATTACAGTGTCTTGCTAGTGAATCTGTTGGGGGATATTACAGTGTCTTGCTAGTGAATCTGTTGGGGGATATTACAGTGTCTTGCTAGTGAACCTGTTGGGGGATATTACAGTGTCTTGCTAGTGAACCTGTTGGGGGATATTACACTGTCTTGCTAGTGAACCTGTTGGGGGATATTACAGTGTCTTGCTAGTGAACCTGTTGGGGGATATTACAGTGTCTTGCTAGTGAATCTGTTGGGGGATGTTACAGTGTCTTGCTAGTGAATCTGTTGGGGGATATTACAGTGTCTTGCTAGTGAACCTGTTGGGGGATATTACAGTGTCTTGCTAGTGAATCTGTTGGGGGATATTACAGTGTCTTGCTAGTGAATCTGTTGGGGGATATTACAGTGTCTTGCTAGTGAACCTGTTGGGGGATATTACAGTGTCTTGCTAGTGAACCTGTTGGGGGATATTACAGTGTCTTGCTAGTGAACTTGTTGGGGGATATTACAGTGTCTTGCTAGTGAACCTGTTGGGGGATATTACAGTGTCTTGCTAGTGAACCTGTTGGGGGATATTACAGTGTCTTGCTAGTGAATCTGTTGGGGATATTACAGTGTCTTGCTAGTGAATCTGTTGGGGGATATTACAGTGTCTTGCTAGTGAACTTGTTGGGGGATATTACAGTGTCTTGCTAGTGAATCTGTTGGGGATATTACAGTGTCTTGCTAGTGAACCTGTTGGGGGATATTACAGTGTCTTGCTAGTGAACCTGTTGGGGGATATTACAGTGTCTTGCTAGTGAACCTGTTGGGGGATATTACAGTGTCTTGCTAGTGAACCTGTTGGGGGATATTACAGTGTCTTGCTAGTGAATCTGTTGGGGGATATTACAGTGTCTTGCTAGTGAATCTGTTGGGGGATATTACAGTGTCTTGCTAGTGAATCTGTTGGGGGATATTACAGTGTCTTTCTAGTGAACCTGTTGGGGGATATAACAGTGTCTTGCTAGTGAACCTGTTGGGGATATTACAGTGTCTTGCTAGTGAACCTGTTGGGGGATATTACAGTGTCTTGCTAGTGAACCTGTTGGGGGATATTACAGTGTCTTGCTAGTGAACCTGTTGGGGATATTACAGTGTCTTGCTAGTGAACCTGTTGGGGGATATTACAGTGTCTTGCTAGTGAACCTGTTTGGGGATATTACAGTGTCTTGCTAGTGAACCTGTTGGGGGATATTACAGTGTCTTGCTAGTGAACCTGTTGGGGGATATTACAGTGTCTTGCTAGTGAACCTGTTGGGGGATATTACAGTGTCTTGCTAGTGAACCTGTTGGGGGATATTACAGTGTCTTGCTAGTGAACCTGTTTGGGGATATTACAGTGTCTTGCTAGTGAACCTGTTGTGGATGTCAGGGATTGTAGTGAGTCTCATTTTCTCCCAGTTAATTTATGCCCGACAGATGACGTCAGTAATAAATGTGAGTGGAATATTTTGACTCTAACTGGGACAACACGGGAATTGTTAAGTCTAAACTTCACGGGAATTATAGAGAAATGCTGATAGTCAAACTTTGTGTGAAGTATAATTATTCACGTGTAGAGAAATGCTGACAGTCGAACTTCATGCGAAGTACGATGAATCACGGGCCACACACAACTGCCGGCCAAATGGAATTCATGGGATTGAAGGGACATGGAGTATTCGGGAAAAACGAAGCGGGGCATTAGAAGGCTATATAATGCCGTAGAAAGGGCTAAGAGGGAGTCTCGTTTGGGCCCAGGAACAGAGTGCATGGACAACGGTGGATGATGTGTGGATTCAACATGTGTTTGAGTGTTGTTGTTCCAGCGTCCAACTTGGCAAAACAAGCTGACAGGTAAAATGTCTGCGGGCCGTGTTAGTTTTCCGTCAGGACAGCTGTTGTGTTTTTGTTCATTATGCTAGTGTAGGATGATTGTGATTTCGGATGGAAGGTAATAATTGATACTTTTGATATTTGAGTTACAATGTGTGCCTGGACAGTAGTCTATTTCATGCGCCGGCTGAGGAAGCCGCAAGTGGAAGATTAAAGTGCTGAAACAGTATCGTGTTGTTTTTCCAGTCGTCCATTTTTTTGCTCGTCGTGTGATGTCGGTGTATGAGATAGCAAGCATGCGATGACGCGAGCCAGATAGAAGATTAAGGAAAGTCATCGCACGAATGGCGATAGATATGATTGAGAAAACAACCATCAGATATTGAATTTGTAGCAGAACAGCTTGATTATCTGGACTTTTTAATCAGAGACATTGTCTTCCTGTCTCACTCTACTTGGGAAGTCACAACAATTAGGTCTACAAATCCATGGAAGAATCACAAACATACCAGCATCACTAAAGCAGGGTTGAGGGTGAGAAAGCACCACATTTCTGCAAAGCAAGAGGTGAGGAACGATTGCTACTGGATAGGACACACTTTGGGAAAACATAATAGTATAACTAGTATGTGTTTTTTTTTCTTTTCTAAACACAGGGCAAAAGAATCAGGGAAAGATCTAAATCACACAACAATAAGAAATAGAAATGATTGATGTAAGGAGTTGCCACATAGGGCCTGTGAGAGATGATTGATGTAAGGAGTTGCCACATAGAGCTGGTGAGAGATGATTGATGTAAGGAGTTGCCACATAGAGCTGGTGAGAGATGACTGATGTAAAGAGTTGCCACATAGGGCTCGTGAGAGATGATTGATGTAAGGAGTTGCCACATAGGGTTGGTGAGAGATGATAGATGTAAGGAGATGCCACATAGGGCTGGTGAGAGATGATTGATGTAAGGAGATGCCACATAGGGCTGGTGAGAGATGATTGATGTAAGGAGATGCCACATAGGGCTGGTGAGAGATGATTGATGTAAGGAGTTGCCACATAGGGCTGGTGAGAGATGATTGATGTGAGAAATTGCCACATAGGGCTGGTGAGAGATGATTGATGTAAGGAGTTGCCACATAGGGCTGGTGAGAGATGATTGATGTAAGGAGTTGCCACTTAGGGCTGGTGAGAGATGATTGATGTGAGAAGTTGCCACATAGGGCTGGTGAGAGATGATTGACGTAAGCACATGATGATGATGAATATTTTGTTGATGTCCGGCCCCACTGTTGTGAAGAAACTTTTCAACTCAAGAAAGACAGTGTTCAGTAAATCAGCTGTGTTTTCTCCACTTCCCTCTCCATTTGTTTTCAGGTGTTTTCCAGTGTTTCTCGGTGGCAGTGCAGACAATATGGGTAGAGGTTCAGCTACAAACAGAAGGTCAGTTAGATAAGGTTTGATTAGAGGAGAAAATATCCACAGGACGCTAACTAGCTATGATTCCAAGAGCGATGCTTGCTACTGTGCACATAACACGCTCTATGAGTCTGTCAAATGCACCATGTATGTGCAGCTGGTTACAAGAGAGTGGAAGGCTGCACTGATTGCCTCCATTCTCAAGCTAGATGTTATTATATCACATGCCAGGCTTTGTTGCAGATGTCCATTCATTTTTGCTATGAACTTATTCTGCTTTTCAACACAGAGCCAGCTGTAGATGAAACATTTGCTAAGTTGAATTTGTAATGGTTCTTCTGTGAAATCTGTCCACTGTTGTTTTTATGTGATCTAGCTAGTGTATCCATGTGGACAGTCTATGTGTCATTTTGTTTCATCCAAGGACTGACTACTGCAACCTCTCTGGCACCTATAGACTGAAATGCTCCCACAAATTAATGTCTGTGTGGAGCTGCAGTTGAGAATACGGGAAAACCTCCTTGAGAACTGCTGCTGCCATGGAAACAGAGACCAGTAGCACTGTAGCCTCCCTGTGAGGCGGACTACCTGACAACTGTAGCCAAGCAGGAACAAGCCCACACAGGACTTGTCAGGGCTGGGGGTCAGTGCTTCATTAGTCATTGGTAAGGATTCTGGTCACAGCACTTTAGACAGATCTATAGGTGCTCTCTAGACAGATCCATAGGCGCTCTATGGACAGATCCATATTTGCACTCTGGACAGATCCACAGGTCACCGATCTCCTCAATAATTCTACAGGTGTAAAATGACTGATAGCAGATATGCTTCATTTCATGATGAAAGGCTTCTGATGTAACCTGGAGAAGAGGATGGAGAGTTGTAGCCTGATCAGTGACACGGAGACGTGCTGTAATGGTGCCAGCTCTGCATATGACACATATAAAGGTCTTCAAGCTGGCTTTGAAACGTGCAGACGCCATAATCTGGAGGATGTGTACACAGAGTTTCCTTCCATCAACTAATGTGTCACTTAATGGAACTCAGTATCCTCCAATTAATGTGTCACTTAATGGAACTCAACATCCTCCCACATCTAATTCGATGGATATCTTCCGCACTTTTCCAGAGGAAGGTCATGCTTCGATGTAGTGGTATTCTGAGCCGATAACAATACACGCCGGTTTGCACAGGGTTCTCAATTGTCTCCAATCCTTTTAACATCTACATGGCCAAAATCACAGGAGAACACTGAGTGGCAGGGGAAGAACGCTGTCACATGCGGATGACATCCTCATGTACCGACAGGGCAGGAACAGAGATGAGATTGTTTCAGATCTACAACAGGAATTAGATCACATATCATCCTTGGCATTTGGCCTAAAGCGTGGAAAAGAACAATCTATATCCCTCTCACAAAGAAAGGAAATCTGAAACTATGCTTCCACTACCGTAGCATCGCATTAGGCATATTGGGAATTTAGGATTTGGTTTATATTTTTATAGACTAATCGGCACAAGGCCTTTTTTGTTGTTGTTGACAGGTCACTAAGAGTGAGACTTTGAGTGAGAAAATTATAAAATTACATTGGTTTTTTTTTTACCCGCTGTTAAACTTTAGTTTGCATTACTTCCTGAAACTAATGAGAGTAAACCTTAAAGGCCTTTTTTTTTTGTTGTTGTTGTTGACAGGTAACTAAGAGTGCAGCTTTGAGTGAGAAAATCATAAAATTGCATTTTTTTTTTTTTACCCACTGTTAAACCAGTCATAGTTTGCACTACTTCCTGAAACTAATGTAAAAACCTTCCAAAAGTATACCAAGACAGTTTCATGATAAAAATATGGATTGTAAAGAAGAAAAAAAACTACATATGATATTCTGTAGTGAAAAAATATTTCCTTAACATCATGGATAGTCTAAGGCTGCATGCAAAAAATCGTTGCGATCTAACATGCAGTTTTAGAGAAAATGTCTTGCAAGTGTGTTTATGAATTGTTGAAACAACTATAATTATATCAAAGTACCTATGAGTAAAGTCATTTTTGTTAACAGGAAAAGGAAAACCCTCTAAAAAATTTTATTTTAGTCAATTTAGTCGTGTCTGACCCTTTGAAAAGTGTGTTCTTGCGCAAGCCATTACAGTGCTGTCAGTCAGGCACCTCCCAAGCTTCTCAGTTGACAGTGTTGAACATTGAAGATGGAGGAGGAAGGGGAAGAAAAGAAATGGAAGAATTCAACCCATTACTCTTGATGTGCACATGTTTTGCAGAGCTTGTGACCAGCTGCGGTGCACCTCCTGTGACTTTAGAGTGTCCTGCTTCGACAACTTGTCTTGGAACCAGGACACTGATTACCTGTTCCTCCGCAATAACGTGCCCAGTGTCCACAAACTACAGGCAAAGTTGCACAGAAGAAAAGGTTAGTTGACAGTAAGAGGTTGGGTCAGGTCACACAGCAGCAGTTGTGTGGCACCAGAGTTCATCAGATTGTCATGTGGCTTTTGGGGCAAACAATTTGACCCACTACCCTCTGATATGTGATGTGAGAGATATGTGACCACATGTGGTGTGAGAGATATGTGACACATGTGATGTGAGAGGTAAGTGACACATGTGATGTGAGAGATATGTGACACATGTGGTGTGAGAGATATGTGATGTGAGAGATATGTGATGTGAGAGATATGTGATGTGAGAGATATGTGGTGTGAGAGATATGTGATGTGAGAGGTAAATGACACATGTGATAATCGAGATATGTGATGTGAGAGGTAAATGACACATGTGATGTGAGAGATATGTGATGTGAGAGGCAAGTGACACATGTGGTATGAGAGATATGTGATGTGAGAGATATGTGATGTAAAAGGTAAGTGACACATGTGGTGTGAGAGATATGTGATGTAAGAGGTAAGTGACACATGTGGTGTGAGAGATATGTGATGTGAGAGATATGTGACACATGTGATGTGAGAGGTAAGTGACACATGTGATGTGAGAGATTTGTGACACATGTGGTTTGAGAGATATGTGATGTGAGAGGTTAGTGACACATGTGATGTGAGAGGTAAATGACACATGTGATAATAGAGATATGTGATGTGAGAGGTAAATGACACATGTGATAATAGAGATATGTGATGTGAGAGGCAAGTGACACATGTGTGAGAGATATGTGATGTGAGAGATATGTGATATGAGAGGCAAGTGACACATGTGGTATGAGAGATATGTGATGTGAGAGATATGTGATGTGAGAGGTAAATGACACATGTGGTGTGAGAGATATGTGACACATGTGATGTGAGAGGTAAGTGACACATGTGATGTGAGAGATATGTGATGTAAGAGATATGTGATGTGAGAGGTAAATGACACATGTGATAAGAGAGATATGTGACACATGTCATGTGAGAGGCAAGTGACACATGTGGTGTGAGATATGTGATGTGAGAGGCAAGTGACACATGTTGTGTGAGAGATTTGTGATATGAGAGATATGTGATGTGAGAGGTAAATGACACATGTGGTGTGAGAGATATGTGATGTGAGAGATATGTGACACATGTGGTGTGAGAGATATGTGATGTGAGAGGTAAATGACACATGTGGTGTGAGAGGTGTGAGAGATATGTGATGTGAGAGGTAAATGACACATGTGATGTGAGAAGTAAATGACACATGTGATAAGAGAGATATGTGATGTGAAAGGTAAATGACACATGTGATGTGAGAGGTAAATGACACATGTGATGTGAGAGATAAATGACACATGTGATGTGAGAGATTAGCAGTGGTATTGAGATGCAAAACTCCTGTAGATTTAATTTTGTGTAGAGTTAGAGGCTGGTAAATGTAAAAGTGTCAGAGGCAGGCAGATGCAGTAGTGTCTCAGGCTGGTAGATGTGTTATGTGACAGGCAAACAATTGTCTGGTGATTGTGTTTATGTGTATTGTATGAGTGTGTGTACAAAAGTCTTGTATGATTGTGTACATGTATGAGTGTATGTACATGTCTTGTATGGTTATGTAAATGTATGGTAAATGAAGTTTGTATATGTATAGTAGTCTGTATACATATACGGTGTATACAAAAGGCCTTCCTCCCCCTGTTGCTGTCATCTATGATTGTTTGGTCCCAGGATGCCGCGCTTACTGCTGCCAGTGTAGCTGGAAGAATGTTCAAGATCTGTGCCAACTCGACGATCCAGGTCTCAAGTGGGTTTGTGGAAAACACTCATCATGACCCTGTCTTCTGGTTGTCGTAGGCTGTGAAGAACCAACCACCTCATCACTTTTGTATACATTTACATATCTTAGTGTTCTTTAAGCTTTGGCCTGAGTGTACCACTGGCAGTTTGCTGATGTAGAAATACTGTGTTTATGCTTAAATACAGATCCTATCATATTTGAAGAATAAATCGAAGCACTCAGGTCATCAGATTAATGCTAGAAATAAATGTGTAGGCACTGATGCCATTGAGACTGATCTCCCCTTGTCTGCAATTAGTGCTGGCTTGGTCATGTTTCCCTGTCTCACTTGGATGGCTGCTGGCCAGGTCTGGCACCGAGAGCTGGCTTAGTCATGTTTCCCTGTCTCACTTGGATGGCTGCTGGCCAGGTCTGGCACTGAGAGCTGGCTTGGTCATGTATCCCTGTCTCACTTGGATGGCTGCTGGCCAGGTCTGGCACTGAGAGCTGGCTTGGTCATGTTTCCCTGTCTCACTTGGATGGCTGCTGGCCAGGTCTGGCACTGAGAGCTGGCTTAGTCATGTTTCCCTGTCTCCTCACTTGGATAGCTGCTGGCCAGGTCTGGCACTGAGAGCTGGCTTAGTCATGTTTCCCTGTCTCCTCACTTGGATGGCTGCTGGCCAGGTCTGGCACTGAGAGCTGGCTTAGTCATGTTTCCCTGTCTCCTCACTTAGATAGCTGCTGGCCAGGTCTGGCACTGAGAGCTGGCTTGGTCATGTTTTCCTGTCTCACTTGGATAGCTGCTGGCCAGGCCTGGCACTGAGAGCTGGCTTGGTCATGTATCCCTGTCTCCTCACTTGGATAGCTGCTGGCCAGGCCTGGCACTGAGAGCTGGCTTAGTCATGTTTCCCTGTCTCCTCACTTAGATAGCTGCTGGCCAGGTCTGGCACTGAGAGCTGGCTTAGTCATGTTTCCCTGTCTCCTCACTTGGATGGCTGCTGGCCAGGTCTGGCACTGAGAGCTGGCTTGGTCATGTTTTCCTGTCTCACTTGGATAGCTGCTGGCCAGGCCTGGCACTGAGAGCTGGCTTGGTCATGTATCCCTGTCTCCTCACTTGGATAGCTGCTGGCCAGGCCTGGCACTGAGAGCTGGCTTAGTCATGTTTCCCTGTCTCCTCACTTAGATAGCTGCTGGCCAGGTCTGGCACTGAGAGCTGGCTTAGTCATGTTTCCCTGTCTCCTCACTTGGATGGCTGCTGGCCAGGTCTGGCACTGAGAGCTGGCTTGGTCATGTATCCCTGTCTCACTTGGATGGCTGCTGGCCAGGTCTGGCACTGAGAGCTGGCTTAGTCATGTTTCCCTGTCTCCTCACTTGGATGGCTGCTGGCCAGGTCTGGCACTGAGAGCTGGCTTGGTCATGTATCCCTGTCTCACTTAGATGGCTGCTGGCCAGGTCTGGCACTGAGAGCTGGCTTGGTCATGTATCCCTGTCTCCTCACTTAGATAGCTGCTGGCCAGGCCTGGCACTGAGAGCTGGCTTGGTCATGTATCCCTGTCTCCTCACTTGGATAGCTGCTGGCCAGGCCTGGCACTGAGAGCTGGCTTAGTCATGTTTCCCTGTCTCCTCACTTAGATAGCTGCTGGCCAGGTCTGGCACTGAGAGCTGGCTTAGTCATGTTTCCCTGTCTCCTCACTTGGATGGCTGCTGGCCAGGTCTGGCACTGAGAGCTGGCTTGGTCATGTATCCCTGTCTCACTTGGATGGCTGCTGGCCAGGTCTGGCACTGAGAGCTGGCTTAGTCATGTTTCCCTGTCTCACTTGGATGGCTGCTGGCCAGGTCTGGCACTGAGAGCCGGTTTTTAGAGCTCTACATGTTTGTTTACTCGACCAGTGGAAACAGAATATGTACCAAACAAACACATTGAACAGTTTAAAAAGATATTCACATCTGGAATGATGAAGAACCAGCTGACCATAAGAATAATATAGAAACTCAACACAGCTGTTTGGTGTAACAGCAAAAACAGTGAACAGCAATATCAGATGCACAATCTTGCGGCCTGGATTCTCAAATAAACAGCTGTTATCTTATGGCAGCCAAATGTAGGGGTTCTAGAGAAAACGATGAAAGAAATAACAAACAAGAGAGAAGTGTTTCTGACCACACCAAAAAATTCATAATGAATAGTAGTAGTGAATAGAGTCTAGTACAAGTGGGGATATAGCACTGAGAGATGGACAGACATTAGTCCATCAGAACTGGTCAAACGGAATTTATTAGGTGAGTGAGTGAGAAGGAGAGAGAGAGAGAGAATTGGAGGAGCAGATGATAATTAAACAAATCTAGAATGATGAAGTTGGTTATGCATGTAGTTATGTGTAAATGTACTTACCCTGGATCGTTAGCTGTTCATGTTTATATGTAATAAATGATGCTAACATGTATAGTGTCTGTATGATTGTATCATTCAAACATGACTCTATCCAAGCCAACTTGAGACTCTTTAGAATTACAGCCATGATTGATTAGATTCCTTTCTGTTCCATCTCGACCATGTTCAACCTGCTGCTGACAGCAGTCTCCGGTTACATTTATGGTCTGGTTTATTTGTGCCAAGTGTTTAGCTAAGTTTGTGTGCCTAACCTAATAGATATACAGCTTCTTCCTTTCTGTGTCCTATTTGTTCCTGTTGTCCTTATTTTGCCAAGTGGGTCATACTCTGTCCTGTTTCATCTTCCTATATTGATTAGTTGTGTAGTTAGTCTTCTATGATTGATGAGATTTACAGTCATGATTACAGTTGCCTATGATTATTTAGATTTACAGCCAGTCTTCTATGATTATTTAGATTAACAGCCATTTTTCTATGATTGTTTAGATTTACAGCCAGTCTTCTATGATTATTTAGATTTGCAGCCAGTCTTCTTTGATTATTTAGATTTACAGCCAATCTTCTATGACTTGTTAAATTTGCAGCCAATCTTCTATGATTTTTTAGATTTGCAGCTTGTCTTAAATGGGATGAGGTAGCCAGTGCAATGCCCTTAATTGATATGCCGGGTTGGTTACAGTGCTACAATTCTTTGCTTCTCTCATGCTAAAACATGGCTAAAAATTACGTGCTCATTTCCTTGCCTGGAGACCAATGGGGCATATTATGCCAGCCTCGTATTATTAGAGACCAATCAGCATTTGAAGGGTGATGTGGCCAATATAATGTTTACTTACTTTTTTTCTCTAGAGAATTTTCTGATTTTCCCATCTGTTTCCTTTCCCCCATCAAAGCTAGAGCTGCTTTTGGAAGGATGAGGCAAATCTGGAAATCCAACAATTACTGCAGAGGAACGAAACTGCGACTCTACAAGAGCATCATTTAGCCAGTTCTTCTTTATGGAGCGGAATGCTGGAGAATGACCAAAAAAGGATGCACACAAGCTGTACACCTTTCACCACACATGTCTACGTAGAATTATCAAAATTTTCTGGCCAGATACAATCTCAAACACTAAACTACTTCAGGTCACAAACCAAGAAACTTTAGACAGTATGATAACCAAGAGAAGATGGAAATTGCTTGGCCACGTTATGAGAATGAATCCTGATATACCAGCCAAAACAGCTCTCACATGGACACCAGAGGGAAAGAGAAAACAGGGGCGCCCAAAAACAACATGGAGACGAACAATGGAAAGTGACCTGAGTGTGGCATCTTTGACATGGAAAACTGCACTGAAGATTGCACAGGACAGAAAAGCATGGAAAGTCCTCTCTGAAGCCTCATGTGGCACTAGGCATAATGAGAACTGATGATGATGATGATCCTTCCCCCCACAGCTTGTCTTGTAATGTAGCTCCACTGGGTTGGATCCCCAACCTCTGCTGGGATGTAGCTCCACTGGGCTGGATCCCCAACCTCTGCTGGGATGTAGCTCCACTGGGCTGGATCCCCAACCTCTGCTGGGAGTAGTTAGGACAGCCCTGCAGTATGTGCTCCAGAGTCTATTTCCATCTGCTCCACATTCCTTGGTGGCAGATTCTTCTATACCTGTGCTGTGAAGGTGTGCTATAAGACCACAGTGTCCTGTCCACAGTCTTGAAACTGTTGATTACTCTCTTTGCTGTGAAGTTTTGTTTATGCTGTCATTCTCACTCTTCACTTCACTGATTCGACCTGCTTTTGGGACAGCCACTGAAGGGATATATCTCTGTATGAAGTCAGACGGCGACCTTTTCAATCTGTTGAGGCACGGACTAAGGTGCAGACAAGAGGCCTCGGGGACTTTCTATTTGTTGATGATGCAGCCATTACTGCACGGACTGAAAGCAATCTCAGATTCTCTTGAATTGCTTTGCAAATGCATGCAAAGAATTTGGACTGTCAATCTTCACAAAATGCAAGTGATGAAAATGAATGTGGTAAACCCACCAAGTATTAGCATTTATGACCATGATCTGTGAGTTGTTTATGAGCTTGAACACTTAGGGTCATGAAGTGCAATCTAAACAGACACACAGGAGAGGCTTTTGCAATGCTTTCCAAACTCACAACAAGCGTGTGGTCAAAAAAAAAAAAAAAAAGCTCACAAAAGGAATCAAAATCAAAGTTAATGAAGCTTGTGTTCTAAGCACGATCTTTTAGGGCAGTGAAAACTGGACTCTGTATGTTCCCCAAGGAAAAAAAAAATACCCTGCACTAAAGCTATATGAAACACATTGTTGGTATGTCATAGCAAGACTGTGTCCCCAGTTAATTTGTACACTAAAGAGCACTGAAGCAAAGAGCCCTGCGTTGCTTGGGACATGTCTCTGGCATGGAGGACGGTTGCTTGGCACATGTCTCTTGCATGGAGGACGGTTGCTTGGGACATGTCTCTGGCATGGAGGACGGTTGCTTGGCACATGTCTCTGGCATGGAGGACGGTTGCTTGGCACATGTCTCTGGCATGGAGGACGGTTGCTTGGGACATGTCTCTTGCATGGAGGACGGTTGCTTGGGACATGTCTCTTGCATGGAGGACGGTTGCTTGGGACATGTCTCTTGCATGGAGGACGGTTGCTTGGGACATGTCTCTTGCATGGAGGACAGTTGCTTGGGACATGTCTCTGGCATGGAGGACGGTTGCTTGGGACATGTCTCCTGCATGGAGGACGGTTGCTTGGCACATGTCTCTTGCATGGAGGACGGTTGCTTGGCACATGTCTCTGGCATGGAGGACGGTTGCTTGGCACGTCTCTTGCATGGAGGACGGTTGCTTGGGACATGTCTCTTGCATGGAGGACGGTTGCTTGGGACATGTCTCTGGCATGGAGGACGGTTGCTTGGGACATGTCTCTTGCATGGAGGACGGTTGCTTGGCACATGTCTCTTGCATGGAGGACGGTTGCTTGGCACATGTCTCTTGCATGGAGGACGGTTGCATTCCAAAAGATCTCCTTATGGTGAACTGGTAACAGGGATAAGATCTGCAGGAAGGCCAAAGCTATTGGATATAAGCAAACGCGACCTGAAAAACATCAACATTGGTGCATCTATCACTTGGGAAAGATCAGCTGCAGACCGACTCCTTTGGAGAGTCCCAGTTTGAAAAATGCCACAAGCTATAAAAAAGACGTCTGAGAGGAAACCAGCCTCAGAATGCTAGAGTACTGTTTTTATGTGACGTATGTGGCAGAGACTGCCATTCCTGCATTTGACTTTAGAATCATAGCAGACGCAGATCCAAAAACCAGCGGTACAGCTCCATGGTCCCCAGGTAACTGATGACCCCCTGAGGAATATTTTCTCTGCTGCATCCTTCAATGCCTAGCACTTCTAGGACCACATTTGTCTGGTCTGGACTGCATGTCCAAGGTTCTGGCCTAAGCTGTTGAAAACAAAACAACCTATATCCTAATACAGTCAACAGATAGTGACAACAACAACAAATTTAGAAGAAACAAAAACAATCTATATCCTAATACAGTCAACAGATAGTGACAACAACAACAAATTTAGAAGAAACAAAAACAACCTATATCCTAATACAGTCAACAGATAGTGACAACAACAACAAATTTAGAAGAAACAAAAACAACCTATATCCTAATACAGTCAACAGATAGTGACAACAACAACAAATTTAGAAGAAACAAAAACAACCTATATCCTAATACAGTCAACAGATAGTGACAACAACAACAAATTTAGAAGAAAAAAAAACAGAAAAGAAAGCTGCCCAAACAGCAGATTTTTTTCCAATACTTAATTGTGTATTAGTTTGTACAAAGTTTTGACAGAATTCTGGCAGAAATAACAGCTTCTTTCATTCATTTCAATCTTTCAACTAAGCTTACATTCTCTATCAGCAGATACACCAATATAAGCACACACACTTATCTCCCACAAGCCTCTTCACAGATTTCCTTGGCAAACCGCAGCAGCCGCCGCTCACTGATCTCCTCTCCATCTTCCTCATATATCTCTTTGGCTTTCTGCTTCCAATAATCCTGACTCCTGTCAAAGTAGTCCAGGATTCCTTCGCCGTCTCGTCGATCTGGAGCATCATCAAATGTTATCTCCATACTCTCGTCAGAATCTGTGACATACATCAGAAGAGAATGAAATCTCAGAGTTTAATTTTTTTCTACAAAAAATAATTGTCCATGAGAATTTATTGATCATGTAATGGTTGTGTATGATTATGTTCAGTTTGGAAGCAGTGGCTGTTTCGTCTGTTGTGTCCAATGCAAATGTAATGTTTGACAATGGAGTCATCAACTGGAGGTAGCAGAGATGAGGGATTTTGTTTAGAACATATTGTCTGACAATGGAGTCATGAACTGGAGGTAGCAGAGATGAGGGATTTTGTTTAGAACATATTGTCTGACAATGGAGTCATGAACTGGAGGTAGCAGAGATGAGGGATTTTGTTTAGAACATATTGTCTGACAATGGAGTCATGAACTGGAGGTAGCAGAGATGAGGGATTTTGTTTAGAACATATTGTCTGACAATGGAGTCATGAACTGGAGGTAGCAGAGATGAGGGTTTTTGTTTAGAATCATGCTGAAAATGTCAGCAAAGAATAAAACAGGCAATGAAAGTTACAAGATCACTCATGACAACCATCAGACAAAAACAAATTATGAGATATATCACAGAACGAAGGCAGTACAGAAACAGCCTTACATATCACAGAAATGCTGAAAAAAAGAGAAACAGCAATATATATCACAGAACAGCTGAAAAAGTGAAACAGCCTTATGTGGTGGCAGAGTAATGTAGAATGACATATATGGGAAGAAGCTTCAACAGCTGAGCAACACCAGCATCATAAAAATTAAAGAGAATATGAGAGGTATGACCACAAAAATCTGCCTCAGTGCTAGGAGCAGTGGGTCTATTCTAAACCCCCCCCCCCCCCCCCCCCCCAATGAATGAAAAGAAGAAGACTTCAAGGACACAACAACACTTCAAGGACACAACAACACTTCAAGGACACAACAACACTTCAAAGACATGACACACTTCAAGGACATGACAACACTTCAAGGACATGACAACACTTCAAGGACATGACACACTTCAAGGACACAACAACACTTCAAGGACATGACACACTTCAAGGACACAACAACACTTCAAAGACATGACACACTTCAAGGACATGACAACACTTCAAGGACATGACAACACTTCAAGGACATGACACACTTCAAGGACACAACAACACTTCAAGGACATGACACACTTCAAGGACACAACAACACTTCAAGGCCTAATTATCACTTCAAGGACATGACACACTTCAAGGACACAACAACACTTCAAGGCCTAATTATTACTTCAAGGACATGACACACTTCAAGGACACAACAACACTTCAAGGACATGACACAATTTTAAGGACACAACAACACTTCAAGGCCTAATTATCACTTTAAGGACATGACACACTTCAAGGACACAACAACACTTCAAGGACATGACACACTTCAAGGCATAATTATCACTTCAAGGACACAACATCATTTAGAGAACACATTATCACTTCAAGGATACAAGCAGTTTAATTTCTGACCTGTTTCCTCATCGTCCTCATCCACCTGCACGGCAGCAGCTGCCTCTGTTTTTGTTTTGTTGTCTGCCTTAGCGTCATCATCATCATCATCAGAGTCCTGCCAGACCTGAAGCTTGCGATCTTCTGCTATAAGCACTGACCACTCATCAAGCTTGTTAGCGTCGATGGAATAGAAATCATTGAGTGTTATCTGTTTGTCTCCCTCTTCGTAGATCCCCCCGTACATGTACATCACGCCGTCCCGCACCTAGGAGCAAAAGAGGTCAGGTGTAGGAATTATTTAGTAAAGTACATATCATCATCATCTGGTATCTGTTTTTTGTGTGAATGAGTTAGAAGGTTGGCCACTAATCTGTGCCAGGTTTAACTCTGTGCCACACTATTAAATATAATTTGTCAGTCATTGGTTTGAACCCGCATTGAGGCGAATTTATAAAAATGGCTGGAGCTTCCAGCTCAAGACAGCTTCGAAACAGGTATCAGGAAATGTTTTAAGAAACAAAGGCAGCTGGTATAATATTAATTACCTCCTCCATTGTGTTTCTGGTAGTCTTGAAGACATGGTCAGCACCATATGCCGAAGTATGGAAATGGGTGTTAAACTCACCAGGGGCAGGACACTGAGAGTGTAGAAATGGGTGTCACACTTACTAGGGATGGTACTTTGAAGGAATTCATCAAGGGAAATGTGTAAGTGGAGAAAAGACAAGTGGAGCAACAAAGAACTTAAAGGTTAAAGAAAGGAACAGAGAAGTAAGAACTTATTCTATTTTTTCACATTCACCAGCTGTAAACTGAGCCAGAAAGTTCTACTTTTGTGGTCCATTTCTGGACTTTAATCTGGTTCCAGAACTTCAGTTTTACATGAACATCCGTTCTGCATATCTGATTATTTGTATGCAGACTGTTGGTTCCTCACATCAGGCAGATGCACTCCAACTTTGATGGAACAGAAAGGCAACAAATAAAAAACATGCTTCAGATACTCACTGCCAATGCTGTGTTCATACGCCTGGATGGCCAGAACTGATCCACATCCATGGTGCTTTCCTCAGCATCCACAGACCCACTACCAGCTGTCACTGTTGGCTGGGCAACGGTCACTTTAAAAATACCATCAGCCTCAGCAGCTGCTTCTATTTCTAGAACATTCTCTACCGCTTCTTGTAACACATCCATTTCATCGTCACCTTCTTCACACTTTTTGCCGTCATCTGCTACATTTTCATTCCCTTCATTATCTAGTTTCAGTTTTCGTCTTTTCCTCCTCTCAGCGACTGCAGACCTCTTCCCCCTGAAACAATGAACACGAAATTACTCCAACAATGAACCTGTCAGTTATTTGTCTCGCATGATCAGCCCTTGAAACAATGAACACGAAATTACTTCAACAATGAACCTGTCAGTTATCTGTCTCGCAAGATCAGCCCCTGAAACAATGAACCGGTCAGTTATTTGTTTCGCATGATCAGCCCTTGAAACAATGAACACAAAATTACTTCAACAATGAACCTGTCAGTTATTTGTCTCGCATGATCAGCCCTTGAAACAATGAACACGAAATTACTTCAACAATGAACCTGTCAGTTATTTGTCTCGCATGATCAGCCCTTGAAACAATGAACACGAAATTACTTCAACAATGAACCTGTCAGTTACCTGTCTCGCATAACAAACAGAACAGCCCAACAGTTGCAAACAAAAACAGACCGGAGCAGGTATCGAGCTATAACTACCACAGTCAAAGACAAGATGGCACAGTCAGTTCAAACAGAAATCAGACGTAAAACAGGCCCTGACAAAAGTGACCACAGCCTCAACACACTGATAAAGCAAAAATAGCCATAATACAGTAAGGAAGCACATAAAATACAACAATACGTTAAAAAACCCAGACAACAACAATACATTAAAAAACCCAGACAAAAACAATACATTAAAAAACCCAGACAACAACAATGCATTAAAAAAACCAGACAACAACAATACATTAAAAAACCCAGACAACAACAATACATTAAAAAACGCAGACAACAAAAATGCATTAAAAAAAACCCAGACAACAACAACAATACATTAAAAAACCCAGACAACAAAAATACATTAAAAAACCCAGACAACAACAATAATACATTGAAAAAAAACAGACAACAATACATTAAAAAACCCAGACAACAAAAATACATTAAAAAACCCAGACAACAACAACAATGCATTAAAAAAAACCAGACAACAACAACAATACACTTGTGGGGGGAAAAAAAGGGTTATGATGTCTGGTAAAAATAAAAAGGATAAGACCACTTGGCGGGAGACAGCTGAGAGACCATGTATTTTTAGGCCCTGATGAAATCAAATCTAACATAGATAAAGATAATATCCAAGCAAACTAGAGATGTCTGTGTGAGACTAACCTGAGTTGAACTGGGAACCACTTGCCTTTATCCAGATCCAGGGACCACAACTCATTGTAGAAAACTGATTCCAATTCTTCTTCATCTTCTTCCTGTTACACAAGTTAAAAAACACACATGGGTATATCGCAAAATTTTCACACAACAGTAGTACAACATTCATAAAATACATGGGTATATCGCAAAATTTTCATAATACAGTAGTGCAACATTCACAAAACACATGAGTATATCGCAACATTTCCATACAACAGTAGTACAAAATTCACAAATCGCATGGGTATATCACAACATTTTCATACAACAGTGGTACAACATTCATAAAACACATGGGTACGTTGCAACATGTGTAGATTCCAACAGGATGGAAACTTGTGAATGTATTACAGAGGATCACACAATATGATCATGTACCAACACAACATTACACAGGATCACACAATATGATCATGCTCCAACACATTACACAGGATCACACAATATGATCATGCTCCAACACAACATTACACAGGATCACACAATATGATCATGCTCCAACACAACATTACACAGGATCACACAATATGATCATGTACCAACACAACATTACACAGGATCACACAATATGATCATGCTCCAACACAACATTGCACAGGATCACACAATATGATCATGCTCCAACACAACATTACACAGGATCACACAATATGATCATGTACCAACACAACATTACACAGGATCACACAATATGATCATGTACCAACACAACATCACACAGAATATGATCATGTACCAACACAACATTACAGAGGATCACACAATATGATCATGTACCAACACAACATTACAGAGGATCACACAGTATGATCATGTACCAACACAACATTACACAGGATCACACAGTATGATCATGTACCAACACAACATGATTCAAGCCTACACCACTGACCATCAGGTGTTTCAATGACCCATTGTTGCCACCCCCCCCCCCCCCCCCCCCATCCACACCCTTGTTTGAGTGTCACAACTCTCCACTATAATTGAACAGTGACAAGCCAGCTCAGGCCTCTCGGCTTTCTTCATTCAATGGATGCAGCTATTTAGATAGTGCTGTGACCTCTAACCTGTTGGATAAGCAGAATATGCCAGCATGGATTTACCCCAACTTCAAACTGAACTATTGACTACTAGCAGTAGCCTGTTCAACCTGCTACTTCCAACTACAGAGGATAGCTGAGGACATCACCAACAAATCTACCAACCTCATCATAAACTCCACCAAACAACAAGGCTTTGTTGCCGGACACAAAAGCAACCGACATTCCTGACCTTGGAGATGGTCGTCCTCCAGTCTGTTTGACAGGCTGCCACTTCCACTTGGGGGCGCTGTCAGAAGTGCCCTCCCTCTTCTCTGGGAAGTTAAGAATAATTCACAATCAATACTTTAAAAATGGGACAAAAAAATGTCACAGCACTGGAGGAAACTCATTCTGCCATGCAGTGTGACAGGGACAGGCAACTCACTCAAACACAGTGTGACAGGGACAGGCAACTCACTCAAACACAGTGTGACAGGGACAGGCAACTTACTCAAACACAGTGTGACAGGGACAGGCAACTCACTCAAACACAGTGTGACAGGGACAGGCAACTCACTCAAACACAGTGTGACAGGGACAGGCAACTCACTCAAACACAGTGTGACAGGGACAGGCAACTCACTCAAACACAGTGTGACAGGGACAGGCAACTCACTCAAACACAGTGTAAAAAATAACAGGGAATCTATTCACAGCACACTGTCAGACATGATCTCCTTTACACAATAAAAACATTCTCTAATATATGTATATGACAGCCCTCATACATTGCTGGAGGCTATATGTGCCATTAGATTTCAGCCTGAACTGGTCTCTGACTTTTCACAAGGAATAGTCATGGGCAGTTTGTGTGGTTTTTCACTGGCACAGAACACAGCAATCAGGTGGTGACCCACTGCAACCTTGCCTGACGTCTAACACAGCAATCAGATGGTGACCCTCTGCAACCTTGCCTGACGTCTAACACAGCAATCAGGTGGTGACCCGCTGCAACCTTGCCTGACGTCTAACACAGCAATCAGGTGGTGACCCGCTGCAATCCTGACTGATGTCTAACACAGCAATCAGGTGGTGACCCGCTACAACCTTGCCTGACGTCTAACACAGCAATCAGGTGGTGACCCGCTGCAACCTTGCCTGACGTCTAACACAGCAATCAGGTGGTGACCCACTGCAACCTTGCCTGACCTCTAACACAGCAATCAGATGGTGACCCGCTGCAACCTTGCCTGACGTCTAACACAGCAATCAGGTGGTGACCCGCTGCAACCTTGCCTGACGTCTAACACAGCAATCAGGTGGTGACCCGCTGCAATCCTGACTGACGTCTAACACAGCAATCGGGTGGTGACCCGCTACAACCCTACCTGACGTCTAACACAGCGATCAGGTGGTGACCCGCTACAACCCTACCTGACGTCTAACACAGCAATCAGATGGTGAGCCGCTGCAATGCAATCCTGCCTGATGTCTAACACAGCAATCAGGTGGTGACTCGCTACAACCTTGCCTGACGTCTAACACAGCAATCAGGTGGTGACCCGCTGCAACCTTGCCTGACGTCTAACACAGCAATCAGGTGGTGACCCGCTGCAACCTTGCCTGACGTCTAGCACAGCAATCAGGTGGTGACCAGCTACAACCTTGCCTGACGTCTAACACAGCAATCAGGTGGTGACCTGCTGCAACCTTGCCTGACGTCTAACACAGCAATCAGGTGGTGACCCGCTACAACCTTGCCTGACGTCTAACACAGCAATCAGGTGGTGACCCGCTGCAACCCTGCCTGACGTCTAACACAGCAATCAGGTGGTGACCTACTACAACCCTGCCTGACGTCTAACACAGCAATCAGGTGGTGACCCGCTACAACCTTGCCTGACGTCTAACAGCAATCAGGTGGTGATCCGCTGCAACCTTGCCTGCCGTCTAACACAGCAATCAGGTGGTGACCCGCTGCAACCTTGCCTGACGTCTAACACAGCAATCAGGTGGTGACCTACTACAACCCTGCCTGACGTCTAACAGAGCAATCAGGTGGTGACCCGCTGCAACCTTGCCTGACGTCTAACAGACTTAACCTCAAGACAATACACCACAATTATTAGGGCGCTGAGTGGTCTCGAGGTATGGTGTCCGCCTTGAGTGCTGGAGGTCCCAGGTTCACGCCCCGTTGAAGGCTGGGATTTTTCATGTGGCCTTCTAGATTTCCCGATCTCTGGGTAGTCAGATCGGACGCCCAGGTGTACTCTTGCCCATGTAAAAAAAATCCCTTGTCAGTTGGAAATTCAAAAGAGTAGCCTAATGGCGCTGCCCAGGCAAAATTCGGAGTTAAAAATCTACTCAAAGTATTTCAGGATCCTCGCCGGTGCAACGGAGTTCGTGCAAAGCATGGTGATTTTTTGACTCACGCTTGAGTCAGAAGTAGAAGGAAGCACTTTTGGGCTACACCCGTGTGCCATGATGTTGATCTGTCAAATAAATAAACAGCACAATTAGAAACTAGTCAACTATCATTCAACACTAAGGTCACAGGAAGTTTATAACAAGAAATTAAAAACAAGAAAAAAGAGACATAGAAATAAATGGAGAAAAAATTTTATGTGAGGGAAAAGAATCCCAACAACCGTGATACTTTTACACAGGGAGCAGAGACTGAACAACCAGCTGTGACCAGACAATTACTCTATAACAGATAAATGAGCAAAGAAACAACACAGAGCACAAAACGTTATTTGTACTAACAACACAGAACACAAAACATTATGTGTACTAACTTTCCTGCGTGAGCACAAACATGTCTGTATGTGTGCTGCCTTTGTCCACGTCCTTCTTTAACCTCTCCTTGCTGTAGCCACCATAGACAACAATCTTGTTGGCATCTGGCATCGGTACAAACACACAGCCGGACCTGTGACAAGATGGGAGAGTGACAGAGATTTGAAACTAGACTGTCTGACCTGTGAGGCAGTTACAAGACACCAGACAACAAACTGTCTGACCTGTGAGGCAGTTACAAGACACCAGACAACAAACTGTCTGACCTGCGACGCAGTTACAATACACCAGACAACAAACTGTGTAACCTGCGAGGTAGTTACAATTCACCAGACAACAAACTGTCTGATCTGTTCTTCATTAGATAATCATCATTATACTATTGGGATTATATATATAAATATATATATATAGGATACAGAAAATTTACAGTAGAAGAAATAAAAAGAGACAAACTGTAGGAAGGAGGAATGTCACAGAGAAGGAGGGAATGAAAAAACAGAAAAGATCTTAATCATTACATGAAACTGCAGGACTCGGAGACCTTGTGGCAAAAAGCAGCCAATGAGGGAAGTTCTCCAGAGTCATGTGACACCTGCCATGTTGGTATGTCTCGTGGGAGACCAACAAATACAAGGATCAAGACTTTGCGGATGAACAAGAGTTTGCTAGAGTGACAGCATGTGCTTGTCAGTGAGGAATTAGAAAATGGCCGATGGAGAACTTTCTGCATGACCTCTACATCTCTGAGGGGAATGGCAGGTGGGAAGTATGATGTCTGCCTGCTTTTGACTTGACATTCAACAAAGACTGCCTACCTGGGTGAGGGGCCAGTGCCTGATGGAGCCAGCAGTGTCCATGTGTAGGTCTCCAGATCAAAACTGTAGATGTCATTGAAGTACTTGTAGTCCCTGAAATCAAAGTTGGCTAGATTACAGAGGTCTTCAAGGGCTCTGAGAGCAATTAGGATATGAAACAATGCAACAGTAGTACTTGAAATCAAAGCTTGGTCAGTCAGTGATCTCATCAAGGGCTCTGAGAGCAATGAACACTTAGTGATGACATCATGGGCTCTGAGAGCAATGAACACTTAGTCAGTGATGACATCATGGGCTCTGAGAGCAATGAACACTTAGTGAGTGATGACATCATGGGCTCTGAGAGCAATGAACACTTAGTCAGTGATGACATCATGGGCTCTGAGAGCAATGAACACTTAGTCAGTGATGACATCATGGGCTTTGAGAGCAATGAACACTTAGTGAGTGATGACATCTCGGGCTCTGAAAGCAATAAACAGTCAGTGATGACATCATGGGCTCTGAGAGCAATGAACACTTAGTCAGTGATGACATCCTGGGCTCTGAGAGCAATAAACACTTAGTCAGTGATGACATCATGGGCTATGAGAGCAATGAACACTTAGTCAGTGATGACATCCTGGGCTCTGAGAGCAATAAACACTTAGTCAGTGATGACATCATGGGCTATGAGAGCAATAAACACTTAGTCAGTGAGGACATCATGGGCTCTGAGAGCAATGAACACTTAGTCAGTGATGACATCCTGGGCTCTGAGAGCAATAAACACTTAGTCAGTGATGACATCATGGGCTCTGAGAGCAATAAACACTTAGTCAGTGAGGACATCATGGGCTATGAGAGCAATAAACACTTAGTCAGTAAGGACATCGTGGGCTCTGAGAGCAATAAACACTTAGTCGGTGATGACATCCTGGGCTCTGAGAGCAATAAACACTTAGTCAGTGAGGAAATCATGGGCTCTGAGAGCAATGAACATATGAAAACAATGCAACATTCGGTAGAAGAAGAAGTAGATATTAGTGGACATGATTAACCAAGAAAGAAGGATTGGCAAGAAAATGAGAAAACATGACTTCCAAAATTCAGTCAATTATGAACTTAGCTCACCATGACGAGATGTAGACCACACAACATATGTTCACCAGCAAAGACATATATAAATGCATGAATGTCTCTAATACAGAATTCCCCCAATGTAGCATATTTCTAAAAATGTTCACATTTTGTTTTTCCATATGAAAGAGTTACTGTTCTACTTCTAATGTAGATCTCCCCTGTATAGACATATTTCTCCTGTTTATGCTTATACTGCAGATCTCCCCTACATAACACATACCTCTACTGCAGACTTCACCCATATTAAACATACTTTTGCTACAGACCTCCCCTATATAACACATTCTTTTGATACAGATCTCCCTAATATAACACAAACTTTTGCTATAGACCTTTCCTACATAACACACCTCTGCTGTAGATCTCCTCCATATAACACACACACCTCTACTGCAATTACTTTCCAACTCAGTCCCTTGGCTCTAGTCATTTGCAGACTTCTCCAATGCACACTGACTCAGGCTTCAACAAGTTGGGTTAGTGAACGAGATGAACATACAGCTGATGCTGATGTCAATGTTTGTTTGTTCACACAGCTGATGCCGATGTCAATGTTTGTTTGTTCACACAGCTGACGCCGATGTCAATGTTTGTTTGTTCACACAGCTGACGCCGATGTCAATGTTTGTTTGTTCACACAGCTGATGCTGATGTCAATGTTTGTTTGTTCACACAGCTGATGCTGATGTCAATGTTTGTTTGTTCACACAGCTGATGCCGATGTCAATGTTTGTTTGTTCACACAGCTGATGCCGATGTCAATGTTTGTTTGTTCACACAGCTGATGCTGATGTCAATGTTTGTTTGTTCACACAGCTGACACCGATGTCAATGTTTGTTTGTTCACACAGCTGATGCTGATGTCAATGTTTGTTTGTTCACACGACTGATGCCGATGTCAATGTTTGTTTGTTCACACAGCTGATGCTGATGTCAATGTTTGTTTGTTCACACAGCTGATGCCGATGTCAATGTTTGTTTGTTCACACAGCTGATGCCGATGTCAATGTTTGTTTGTTCACACAGCTGACGCCGATGTCAATGTTTGTTTGTTCACACAGCTGATGCCGATGTCAATGTTTGTTTGTTCACACAGCTGATGCTGATGTCAATGTTTGTTTGTTCACACAGCTGATGCTGATGTCAATGTTTGTTTGTTCACACAGCTGACGCCGATGTCAATGTTTGTTTGTTCACACAGCTGATGCCGATGTCAATGTTTGTTTGTTCACACAGCTGATGCCGATGTCAATGTTTGTTTGTTCACACAGCTGACACCGATGTCAATGTTTGTTTGTTCACACGACTGTCTGTGAGCCAGTGCACACTGAGGTGAGGGTCTAGGGACGGCAACTTGACAACTAATCTCAGCACGTACATATCAGTGAATAATTACCTTCATAAAGAAAATACACATGAACAGTCCCACAGCGATAACTTGACAACTAATCTCAGCACGTACATATCAGTGAATAATTACCTTCATAAAGAAAATACACATGAACAGTCCTACAGCGATAACTTGACAACTAATCTCAGCACGTACATATCAGTGAATAATTACCTTCATAAAGAAAATACACATGAACAGTCCCACAGCGATAACTTGACAACTAATCTCAGCACGTACATATCAGTGAATAATTACCTTCATAAAGAAAATACACATGAACAGTCCCACAGCGATAACTTGACAACTAATCTCAGCACGTACATATCAGTGAATAATTACCTTCATAAAGAAAATACACATGAACAGTCCCACAGCGATAACTTGACAACTAATCTCAGCACGTACATATCAGTGAATAATTACCTTCATAAAGAAAATACACATGAACAGTCCCACAGCGATAACTTGACAACTAATCTCAGCACGTACATATCAGTGAATAATTACCTTCATAAAGAAAATACACATGAACAGTCCCACAGCGATAACTTGACAACTAATCTCAGCACGTACATATCAGTGAATAATTACCTTCATAAAGAAAATACACATGAACAGTCCCACAGCGATAACTTGACAACTAATCTCAGCACGTACATATCAGTGAATAATTACCTTCATAAAGAAAATACACATGAACAGTCCCACAGCGATAACTTGACAACTAATCTCAGCACGTACATATCAGTGAATAATTACCTTCATAAAGAAAATACACATGAACAGTCCCACGGCGATAACTTGACAACTAATCTCAGCACGTACATATCAGTGAATAATTACCTTCATAAAGAAAATACACATGAACAGTCCCACAGTGATAACTTGACAACTAATCTCAGCACGTACATATCAGTGAATAATTACCTTCATAAAGAAAATACACATGAACAGTCCCACAGCGATAACTTGACTAACTTGACAACTAATCTCAGCACGTACATATCAGTGAATAATTACCTTCATAAAGAAAATACACATGAACAGTCCCACAGCGATAACTTGACAACTAATCTCAGCACATACATATCAGTGAATAATTACCTTCATAAAGAAAATACACATGAACAGTCCCACAGCGATAACTTGACAATGGCAATCTTCCACGCTGAATAAACATGTCCAGCTTTGAAAAGAATTGTCAAAGCAAACAGGTAGTCTGGTTTTTTCTATGAATTTGAAGCCAAATCTAGTTCAGTCATCCTCTTGTTTGATTTACTCAAGCAGCAACTTCTCGGCTGACAAACGTACGATTCCTGGATCTCAAACAAGAACATTCTCAGCTCAAGTATTCTTTCACTCCCACGTGTTTTCTCAACCATTGGATTCATGTCATAAACGCTTTCTCTCATGTGGCATTATTTCGACAATTTATCCAGGATGGCTCATATTTTTCATGCAACCCACACTTTACTGATTTTGTTCACTGAGCTTAGGTACATCATTTATGTTGAGTATCTTATTTCAATATTAATGCAAACATAAATTATCCTGGAGAAACTGACTCCTTACACTACTGTAGATCTCCCCTATATAACAGACACCTCTACTGGAGATCTCCCTTTTATAACATATACATCTACTGTAGATCTCCCCTATATAACAGACACCTCTACTGGAGATCTCCCCTATATAACATATACATCTACTGTAGATTTCCCCTTTATAACAAACTATTGCTATAGACCTTCACCATATAACTCTGCTACAGATCTCCCCTTTATAACACACACCTCTACTGTAGATCCCCTATATAACATATCATTTTGCTATAGACCTCCCCTATACAACATATACATATATAATAAGACGTATAAATTAACATCAAAGACTGTTGAAACAATACCTGTTGTTGTCATGAAAACCACCAAACACAAAAAGCTGTTTCTTGACTGCAACCATCCGATGTCCACTGCGAGCTGTGGGGCCACCTGGTGCCCTGGAGATACAAGTTTCCAACTAAGCAACAAAATCAGCAAGACAGACTTCAGTAGACAACTTTTCTGTATCTTTCCCTTCCATCCCTCATCTCTAAACCAGAATCCACAGAAAGTTTCCACTAATACAGTGAAGTTTCTACTTATACAGTGAAGTTTCCACTAATACAGTGGAGTTTCTACCAGTACAGTGGAATTTCCACCGATACGATGGATTTTCCATGATTATAATTTGTAAGGTTAATTGGGTCTTGGTCAGTTCCTTTTCTTGTTGTCTTGGCCAATACTATTTTTTTTTGAGTCATCTCCTGTAAATCCATGTGATGCCTCTTGGATTTCTCCAGAATAGAAAACAGAACCAGGCTATCCAGGGCCATTGCTTTCCTCAAAGTGAAGTCACACCCACTTCATGAGGAATGATTCCAGAAAAAGAAGAATAGGCTTAATTGAGGAAAATCATAGATGGGTGTGCTGAGGATGCAATCGTACATGTTTGCCGCCTGAAATTTTTGAAATTGAATGGATACTTATGCCTCCTGCTCAGAACATTACAGTGCACATCACATTTGATGGAAGCTGTAGAGAGCGGATCCCTGGCACTGTGGAAACTTTAGTCAGAACAATGACTGACGAAAACACAGATGAAGGTGACGCTTTACTTCACACAGATGGGTCAGTAATTTGGGGCAGGCGAAGTGCATGGGCATTCACAGTAAACTCAAAGGGGAAACCATCAAGGGGATGAATGGCACCTGTGCTGTTACAAATAGTAGCCTTACAATGGAAATTATGGCTGTTACAAATAGTAGACTTACAATGGAAACTATGGCTGTAACAAGAGCATTAGCACTGCTTGGTACTAAAAAGTTCGCACATGTGTGCATACTTAGTGACTTGATAAATATGCTTTAAAAATCTAAGCTGGTTTTATCAGCCAAAAATGGATTGCATCACTAAGCACTTCACAAATCGCTGCCCTAACCTTCACATTTGTGCCAGGTTATCCAGGTGTTCAAGGGAACGAGCATGCAGATTATCTTGCTGACCCAGCGGTTGCTATGGCTGGTCCAGTTCTGGACCGAAGTGATGTTACCACGACAAGCACGCCAAACGGCATTACTCTATATCCGTGTCTAGACTGATGGACATGGGGATGCAGTCTGGATCTGCCAGAAATGGACATTTCACTAAGGAGACAAGGCTTTTAATTAATCAACACAGAACAAGCATCATCAGTGGAAATTTTGAGGATTATTTATAGCAGGGTGATTTTGCTGTATACAGGCAGGTCTAACAAATATGAGTTGGTGCACCGTGCTGAGATTTTCCTGATGTGATCTACAAATAGTGAAGCATACAGCAGACAACAGGGAGAAGTAGATGTTATAGAGGGCAACACATACAACAGACAGAAGCTGTAGACATACTTGATTTGTTCCCATTTCTTGTCGCGAAGGTGCAGCACCCACAGGTCCTTGTAGTGGTAGAACTGGCTCTGTGTGTGGCTGGAAAACTCCCCACCAAAAATCCACATCTGTCCACCTTGGTGAGCCACGGTCACAGCCTGGCGATTGGTCAAAGAAACAAGCTGACCTTTCAATCAACAAACACTGTAAACATCTGTTCTTGCACCAACTGAGAGTCAACATCTGTTCTTGTGCCAACTGACAGTCAACATATGTTCTTGCACCAAATGACAATCAATATCTGTTCTTGTGCCAACTGAGAGTCAACATATGTTCTTGTGCCAACTGACAGTCAACATATGTTCTTGCACCAATTGACAGTCAACATCTGTTCTTGCACCAACTGACAGTCAACATCTGTTCTTGCACTAACTGACAACCTGATCAGTAAACAGTGACTGTACCTGTATCATCTTTATTACCATCAACCTGCAGTTGACAGGTTCATTGTTTCCTAGAACATTTAAACACTGGCCAGACTTTACTGAGGCACATTTTTGTCAACAATAAAGAATTCACATTTAGACAACTGATAAACAGTAAGTTTGGACACATCCAGACTTATCTGAATGACCAACAGTAGCTAGCAATATTCACAACAGTTAAATACTAAAATGTATCTGCCAAATATTTCATATTTGCGCTTGCTTTATTTTCAGTTTCCTAATTTTGGTGTCCACTCAGAAATTACTACACTGACTGATAGATACAGTCTTTGTTGAAAGTGATAAAACGGGCCTTAGTTTGAATAATGGGAAGACAGATGTAATGGTGACTTCCAAGAAAAGAATAGTACCTAAATGTATAACAGAAGTCAAAGGCATTATTTTATCACAAGTACATTCTTCTTCTTCTTTTGTTCATATCTGTATCTGCAATGTTGTCTCTAATAAGAACTTCACTGTCTTATAATTCACTCAGCGACCCGTAAAGTTTGGCTCGCACCCACGTTTCTCTTGGCCAAAAGTTTTTCCTTGATATGTTTTATTTGGGACAGCCTTGGAGAATGTGATCTGTTTGTTGTCTCAGGTAAATCCACATGTGCACATGGCTGATCTGCCAATATTATATGTTCTGTACATGGGGCTGCGAAGAGTACTATTGTGTCCTGTTCTAAGGCGTAGAATAATGATTTGCTTTGGTCTGCCCATTATATGGTAATTGTGTTTTTACCGTTTTGGTGGCTTTCTGATTAATTTGGTTTTTCTCTTCTTCTGTTGATAAGAGACTGGTACGTTCAGGTTGTTCTTCATTTGCACCTTCCTTATCTAGTTAATCAGCTCTTTCCTATCCTGGAAAACCCCACAGTGTCCACAGTGGGATGATATCTATTGCATAGTTAGCTTACACCGGTTGCCTAGTTTAGAGAGTAGTGTCTATACACCAGGCAATTTTCCAGACTTCAGTGCCTGAACTACCATTCTTGCAGGAATAGCACAGACAAATACAGAAATGTGTCGAGGCAAATTGGATAACATCTGATAGAAGATGTTTGGCAGCGATAAAGAACAGAATCGGACATGGCAAGGCTGCAATTTATCAAATAAAGAACATTTTATGCAATCAATCCATGTCACTGGAGGTTAGGAAAAGAATTCTCGAACGCTATGCAGAGCCAGTGAATTCTGGACAATTAATAAACAAGCCAAACAATTTCTTGAGGCCTCGCAGATGTGGTTTTATAGAAGAATCTGAGCAATTCCTTGGACAGCTAAGAAGAGCAACCTATTTGTTTTGAAAGAGACAAGGGCTTCAGGATAACTTTTCAGAAACATCAGAAAGAGACAGTCGGTTTTTATGGGTCATGTTATGAAAAGAAGGAAACTGGAACATGATGTGACCACTGAAAAGAAAGACAGAGGAAGACAGCGTGTTATGGTTCTTGACAGCCTCCTGTCATGGCATAAAGGGGTGTCAGCACACCTGATAACCCAGTTGCAAATCACAGATTGTGGAGTGGCATGATCGTCCATGCCAGTTGGAGAGGCAACTGATGGTGATGAATTCTGGTTTGCAAACCCCCCTTTCCCCACAGAAAGTCTTTCACAATGTAGAAATGTTCAATTATTGCTGCCAGGCGTTGCCCATTTTTAAGGCCCGCTACTATAAACACCTTACCTGATGAGCACTGCGGGGAGGTGGGCCGTTTGGCACGGAAACTCGCAGCCATTCATTCTTCTTGATCTGGTAGGCATATAGATCGTTATATACAAACATCTGTGGATGAACGATCAACGGATCAATGAGTCAAACATGGCAAAAACAAAATGTCTCAACAAAACAAAATATATCACTACTGGCAATTGATAAAGTTACATAAAAACTATAATAATTATTAATTAATATGAAAGCCAAGAATAGTAACTATCTATAGAATTAATTTTCTTTAAAGTTTTTTTGTCTCACAGCCATGATTCTGTATGGAAAAGAGAATCAACAATAACAGGTAAGACTGGGATATGAATCAACATGTAAGATTAAGAGAGTGTGACTGGAATACAAAACAACAAACAAACAAAATTCTCTTAATTACCTTATTCCCTGTAAAATATTCTCCACCAAACATCAGTAACTCGTCCCTCTCTGGATGAGCAACTAAAGATGCATTGCACCTAAAATAAGAAATAACAAATAACCAGTAAAGATGCATTGCACCTAAAATAAGAAATAACAAATAACCAGTAAAGATGCATTGCACCTAAAAAACAGAATCACTAAAGATGCACCTAAAATAAGAAATAACATGACCATTAAAGATGCATCTAAAATTTGAAGGAAAAAAAATAACGATACTAAAGATGCACTGCAGTTGGAATAAGAAATAACATAATCACTAAATATGTGATGTACCTAAAATAAAAAATAGCATAACCAATAAATATGTGATACACCTAAAATAAGAATAACATCATCACTAAAGATGCATTGTAACTTAAATAAAATGTCCAGGAAAGAGTATTAAACTTGTCTTTTGCAAATGAAGAAAAAGATTTGCTCATTTGTTTCGTGTGCTTTTCATGCAATGATACTGATTACTGATTGTGATTACCTCCTTGTAGAATTGATTGTGACCTGAGATAATTAGTTCCAGTTCTAGATGCCTTCCTGAGCCCAAGAAGAAATCACAAGACAGACCACTTATGAAAAAACACAAGAGTTACCCCTACAGACAGAACACAAGATTTACCCCTACAGACAGAACACAAGAGTTGCCCCTACAGACAGAACACACAATTTACCCTTACAGACAGAACACAAGAGTTACCCTTACAGACAGAACACAGAAGTTACCCCTACAGACAGAACACAAGAGTTACCCCTACAGACAGAACACAAGAGTTACCCCTACAGATAGAACACAGAAGTTACCCCTACAGACAGAACACAGAAGTTACCCCTACAGACAGAACACAAGAGTTACCCCTACAGATAGAACACAAGAGTTACCCCTACAGATAGAACACAAGAGTTACCTCCAGAGACAGAACACAGAAGTTACCCCTACAGATAGAACACAAGAGTTACCCCTACAGACAGAACACAAGAGTTACCCCTACAGGCAGAACACAAGAGTTACCCCTACAGATAGAACACAAGAGTTACCCCTACAGGCAGAACACAAGAGTTACCCCTACAGACAGAACACAAGAGTTACCCCTACAGATAGAACACAAGAGTTACCCCTACAGACAGAACACAAGAGTTACCCCTACAGACAGAACAAAGATTTACCCCTACAGACAGAACACAAGAGTTACCCCTACAGACAGAACACAAGAGTTACCCCTACAGACAGAACACAAGAGTTACCCCTACAGACAGAACACAAGAGTTACCCCTTCAGACAGAACACAAGAGTTACCCCTACAGACAGAACACAGAAGTTACCCCTACAGATAGAACACAAGAGTTACCCCTACAGACAGAACACAGAAGTTACCCCTACAGATAGAACACAAGAGTTACCCCTACAGACAGAACACAAGAGTTACCCCTACAGACAGAACACAAGAGTTACCCCTACAGACAGAACACAAGAGTTACCCCTACAGACAGAACACAAGAGTTACCCCTACAGACAGAACACAAGTTACCCCCACAGACAGAATGCACCCTAAATACAACCAATGAGATATTAATTTGTTTTGATATATCTGGGTTACCTTGGTGATGGTGGGGGACATTTCTCCTCAACCACTTGTCCCTTTCTTCGATCTTGTTCTTGGAATTCTGCTATCAACTTTTCAATGTCTTCCTAAAATAGAAGTTGGAACCCACACACACATTTAATCAAATTGACAAAAGTCATAATACATATAAAGAAGACACCATGTCTCTATGCCCACGAACAGCCTGGATGTGTGAACTCTACAAGAGACTTTCTGTCGATGCCTATGCCAAGGAATTGACCTTATTGGTCGTCCAGCTATGACTGACCTTCATTCTGGTAATGGGTGATGTAATATGTCGAGAGGATTAGATGTCTGTTTCGTGACAAAATGAGGATGCTACAATGGTATGGGAGTTGGGTGTGATTGTACCAGTCATGTTTTGTGACAAAATAAGGCTTTACAAAAAAAGGGGGTGGGGGGGGGGGGAGATGTCTCTTTGTGTGTGGTCTCTATCCTTTGACCTGTCTAGCTACCACCTCCATAGCTTTTGGGGTCACTGAGAAATTTAGGCTCTATTATTGAAATGGCAGGTAACACAGACAAAAAGTGTGTACACAAAAGGGTTGACTGGGAGTAGAGCATGATGCAGACCAAGAAGACTGGAGAGAGATATACACTTGGCCAAGTGTGCAGTGATTGACCAGCAGGCACTGCTACATCAAAGTATACACAATTTGAAGATAACGTCCACCCAAGTGTGCAGTAATTGACCAGCAGGCACTGCCACATCAAAGTATACACAATTTGAAGATAACGTCCACCCAAGTGTGCAGTAATTGACCAGCAGGCACTGCCACATCAAAGTATACACAATTTGAAGATAACGTCCACCCAAGTGTGCAGTAATTGACCAGCAGGCACTGCCACATCAAAGTATACACAATTTGAAGATAACGTCCACCCAAGTGGTGATGTTATCTATACAGATGGCTCAGTCTTGAAGCAAATTAGTGCAACAAAGTCTAGTCTGTGATACTTTGATACCTAGTTTGCGAATGGAGATGGAGGCATGTTTTACCACATCTGCCTTGTTATGTATTAGTTTGCCACCCAGTGATGCAGAACCAGCCAATCTGTCTGCCTGTTCATTCCCAACACACCGGCATTTCTAGAGAAAAGATCCAAAGTATGCTCACCACCCGGACCTTCCAAGTGAAGCCTGCCACTCTGTCCGAAGCATCCTGTCTTTACCTTTTTCAGCATGCCTTCAGAGTCTGTTAGAATTATGACATATGTATGCATCTTGTTCTCTACTAGCCACAGGCAAAGTACAGTGACTGCCTCTACCTCCATTCTAATGCTAGATGTTATGGTATCATTTTCTAGGCTGTCGTGCAGTTAAGATTTTCCGTTGGCTTTCGCTTCAAACCACTCAGGCACTTCTCTTCTCTCTCAACACAGAACCATCGGTATAGATAATCAGATCATCTGAACGAGAATTTAGGTTTGAGGTTTTGAACAAAGGATCAACATCATGGCACACGGGTAGTAACCCATAAGTGCTCCATTATTCTTCTAACTCAAGTCTGAGTCCGAAGAAGCTCAGCACAGTGCACGGGCTCTGTAGTACCAGCGAGGATCCTGAAATACTCTGGGTAGATTTTAAACTCCAGATTTTTCCACAGCACCGACGTCATGCTACTCTTTTTTGATTTCCAACAACCAAGGGATTTTTCTTGGTGCAATAATGCACAGTTGTCCGATCTCTCTACCTAGGGGGAATTACTAGAAGTCCAAGTGAAAAGATCCCAGCCCTTACCAAGGATTGAGCCTGGAACCTCTAGCTCTCGAGAACGAGAACTGTTGTGGATCAACTGTTGAACTTCCACCTCCTTAGCCCCCACTGGCCACTCTGCCTGACGTGATGGTGACCTAACACAGGTCAGAGTTTTCCTCTGGTACTCCGACCCACTACTCTACTCGAATGCAAACTTATTTTATTGTGTCTTCCGCTTGAGCCATCCATGATTTTCCCATTTCAGCCTCCGACCCTTACAGTTACATGCATCCAGAGCTTCATACAGAGGGTGCTCTCTGTCTGCAGCTACTCTTCAAGCTTTTGCTTCAATATCAGCTGAGGAAAAGCTGATCAAATGGTAGTGAGTGGGGAGTGGGGTCAAAAATTGTATCACAATTTGTTTTTGTAATACTACTAATCCTTAAATTGTGGTGAGGAGGGTACAGGAGATACAAAAACAAATGAGTGTGAGGAGGTTCAAAGTTTTACGAGGCTGGCTAAAATACTGGGCTGCCTGACATTCCAAATGACGTCCACCTCTAATTTAGGCAGACAGATGCTTGAATAGAACTTACGAGATTCATTAGGACTAAATGAAATGATTTACTCACTGATTCTAGTGACTACAGTTTCGACAATTTGCGTTTTTTTTTGGCAATTTCCGATACCATGGAAACCATTTGAAACTTGTTTGGGAAATGTCGGCTGGGGTTTCGGAATGGGTCCTAATCTCTCATGAAATTTTGCGATTGGTGTGATTTCCACCAGCTATGAATAGCCGAAAACGGCGGGAACGAACCCAATTAACAGCGCATGTCTACGACAGCCGGACGTCCTCTGTTTTTCTGTTGCATCAGTTTGATTGAAAATAGCGCTAAGTATTCACGGTTGGCTTTAAGACCTTAAATATTACAAGACATGGTAATGCTAGATCTAATTAAATTTTCCGTCCAATTTTACATTTGTGTATAAAATTTCTTTCTTATCTGTGGCTGTTTCAATTTACAGTGACATTTTTCATGCTATTATGTGGCCGTGCTGAGAAAAATTGTCTGCCATCTTGTCCAATGAAAACAAAGTCAAAACGAAAGTTGCGCAGTTTGGTTGCGCAGAGAAAACTTCTTGTTTCTCAGACACAAGTTTTGGCACTCCTTTGATCCATTCCCCAAAATGGCGGCATGCCACATTCTGGCCATAAAATATCCAAAAATATCCGAACGACGGTGTTCCCGTATATCTAAAATACGGACTGCCTGCCAAGGGACAAATCACGGCAAAACTAGGATTACTTGACAATCACTATCAACATTGCACACGGTACTAGTAGCAGACGATAAATACCGACCGTTGACAACAATTTCAAGCGTTTCTGCAGACGACGATACTAGCAGATGATATTAGCGACTGTTGACCAATTTCGAGACATTACAGACGATGAAAACGATTAGCAATACTGTGTTCTTCCGATTGGAGGATTTAGCAGCGGTAGATGTCAGACTTGTCGGCATGCGCCAAACACGATTAAACTCATCGCCGAGCATATCTAGGTGCCTGGGACTCACGAGTACATTAATTGGAGGAAGTTGCAGGAGATGCGGTAGCTGCCACTCGTGAGTCCCAGCCATCTAGTTTAGCCCCCATCAGGGCCGCGCGGGGGATACGCTCGGCGGTGAGGCACACTCGCTGAAGCAGGTCGGCAAGCACCGTATCGCCGAGACCCTGTCAGAGCTTTTGTTTCGTTATCCGGAGCCGGCACCTATATTTTTAATAGAACTGACCCGCATTCGGATATTTTATGGCAAGAAATTGGCCAATTTAGCTCTCTTTCGAACGCCATCATATTAAAGCCGCCATTTTGGGGAACGATTCAAAGAAGCGCCCAAGTTTTAGCAGCTGTTTTTTTCATCTCATCTCCACAAAAACCTACAAATCTCAGCTCAGAAATGACATACAAGGCTAAATGAGGTACCACTGGAAAGAGATTGTTTACAGCTATCTAACTGTGCTGGTTTTATTGGTGTTGAGGGCATTTTAAAAATTTGACTAAAGTACCTACTGATTCATTAAGGAGAGGGACTCGACTGACTGAACTGAGGCCAACAATTTTTACTGAAACGTGTTTTAAAAATTATAAACACACTTCTAATCATTTTAGCTGATCAGTTCAAAACATTTACCTCCCCTTTCTCAGCCAGATCTTTCTTCGATCGCTTCTCTGCCTTTTTCTCCGCCTTTATCTCCGTTTTCTCTTTCCCCTTGCCTTTACTCTCCTTTTTGTTTTTCTTGCCCATGTTGTCCAGAAACCGAAACCAAAACTACTCAACTTCCGCTTCCGGCCACCCACGTGCTGGCCAACCTAGTCCCGGACTTAATGCGTTCTGTGGAACTCTTCTATGCATTTTGTGCAGGATGGTTGACGTCGGGACCATTACTGTAAACCGTTCACAAGTTGTGTACCTGATTCTTATATCTGTAATCAGTTTACGGCTTCGTCGACGGTCGAGACAATATTTGGGTCTGTCTCGTCTGATCGTATCAAAACTGCAAGTGTCCTTTTCAGGAAAACTTTGGGAAGAGCAATGTTAAACCATTCCATATGGCGCACAAAAACCTAGTCACAATTATAACCAAAGGTTCCACTTTGGCGATGTTGATTGAACCTGACAATTTTTGTGAAAAGTGGTGAATTATTTGCCTGTTGGGCTACTCTTTTCGATTTCCAACCTCCAAGGGATTTTTTTTTTTTTTACGTGCGCAACAATGCACATGAGCGTCCGATCTTACTGTCCAGAGACCAGGGGGAATTACTAGAAGTCCATTGGAAAACATCCCAGCCTTCACTGGGGCCTGAACCCGGGAACTCCAGTACGCTACTCTCAGCAGTTAGTCACTGCTACTACTATTACTGTCTACTATTTCATTTTTTTTATAAACGTTTATTGGGTGAAAGCATAGTTTATAATTCTTTGATATACGTTAACAAAATCAAAAATAATATGTTAAAAATGATGATGACTGATACCTTCATTCCACAAATCTTTGGAAGAGGGTAGAAAAAACGGGAAGACCTCAAGGAATGCCAGATTGGCCAATAAACAGCATCATATCTCGGAAGCTGAAATATTTTGATCAAACGGCAGATTGGGAAAGAAAAAATAACAACAGAAGGCATGGTACCAGGAAGGAGGGGCAGGGGGGATCAACGCGAACATGGGCACAGGACATTAGTGATTCCGTGAGTCTGAAGTACACAAGGCGGGAGAGCTGGCGAAAGACCGAGTTTCTTTCAGGTATACCATCATTCTTCTTCTTCTTTCGTTCGCATGAAATAAATTATTTATATCTGCAATGCTGTCTCTAGTATGAATGTTATTGTCTTTTGTAATTCCCTAAGCGGCCCGTAAAGTTTGACTTCTACAAGTGTCTCTTTTGGCCAGAAGTTTTGCATGGAAGCGTTAAATCTGGGACAGTCTTGGAGGATGTGATCTGTTGTCTCAGGTGCCAGTCCACAAGTACACATGGCTGATTGGCCAATCTCAAATTTGTTGTACATGTGGCAGCGAAGTCGATTGTGTCCTGTTCTAAGGCGAAGGATAATGACTTGCTCTGGTCTGTCCATAATATGGTAATCGTCTTGTGCCAGTTTCGGCGGCATTCTGATTGATTTGATCATTCTCTTCTTCTGTTGATAAGAGACTGGTATGTAGGGTTGTTCTTCAGTTGCACCTTCCTTAGCTAGTTTATTAGCTCTTTCGTTTCCGGGAACTCCACAATGGGAAGGTATCCACTGCATTACTAAATTACAACGGTTGCCTAGTTCGGATAATAGTGTCCGTATGCTTGGTAATTTTCCAGACAGGAGTGGTAGACCGTGATGAGAGCGACGTTCTACGAAGGATCTGCTACATGATGTAATGTTAGTAATTTGAAGGACCATTTGTCACGCTATCAGGAGTATCGGGCGTACAGGGCCAGACCCATATATTCATAGAACAATCTTTCCTCTGTGGATGATGTGCTCAATATTAGGCCGGATTTCAACGGATGACTGCTGGCTGTGTGGATTTGTATCATGGTATGGGACATCTCAGATTGACACAGCCTAGAAAATGGGTACCAGGATAAATGTCCCGAGGAAGTAAAGACGGCCGGCGTAATGCTGACCACATTACTCACCTAGTGCCGATAGGTCTGTACAAATATGGGTGCTCTTCCCATACGCCGGATGCGCCCAAGGCGTGAAAATAGATCTTGAATTTTTTACTTTTATTCAACGGGTAGCAGACATGTTTCTGTGAATTGTTGGGAAAGGGGGGGGGGGCGGGGGGGGGGTTGGAAAGGTAAGCACGAGAAGATGAACTAGACATAGCACAACGGTGAAGACCTCGACCCACAACGACTTGAGGTTTATTTAGAGGTGATAATTATAGATACCAAACAAATCTCGGTCAACCCTTCTGGGCTACCGGAACATACGGAGTTGACAAGGCCCCTCCCCCTCCCAGAGAGTGATTATTTGAATACTGAATGTGTTTCTAACTTGCGACTGTTGTCATTCCAAGGCCTAAGACGCTAATCCTACACCACCCTAAAAGGTAGCACATAAGACAGGAATGACAGTTTTTCCTTCCACACCAACAACGCTTGTCTTGTCTTATCCACAATTGCCTCACAGCGTAGTGGGGAGTCGCAGTTTTCTATCCTGGGCCAGGTGTGTTGCACGTGTTGTTGTTAGTCCGTGTTGCCTCAGAATCTCTGATATATTGTCTATCCATCGTACTCTCGGTCTGCCTCTTGCTCTAGGGCAGTAGTGCTGTTCGTTGTATGCTCGTAGAGGCAGTTGGTCGGTTTGCATTCGCATCAAGTGGCCAAACCACTCTATTTGATGCTTCTTTATGTATTGCAGGCATGGTGTGGTTCCTACAATTGCTCTAATGTTCTCGTTTCGAACTCTGTCTCTCCTTGTGACATTGGCAGCCTTTCGTAAGCATCTCATTTCGCACGTCGTGATCTTTTTCTCCTGTGCTCTTGTTAGGGACCAGGTTTGGCATTGGAAGCAGAGGGTTGGTATAAACATGCAATTTATCAGTTGTCGTTTTAGTGCCATAGTGATGCTTGGGTATTTTAGCAGTGGGGAGAGTTGGTAAGTTACTGCGTTCGCTTTTTGACATCTTGCCTCAAGTTCCCTATCAATTCTTCCATCATCTGTGAAGATGCTCCCCAAGTATTTAAATTGCTGCACTTGTTTGAGTTGTTCGTTGTTAACTTGAATAGTTTGTATATTAAGTGTTCTACTTATTTTCAGAATTTCTGTTTTGGTAATGCTGATCTTCATGTTATATTCGTTGTAGCGCTTCTTTCAGTTTGGTTTAAAAAATGTTTGCACCAGCTCGCCAGCGGAACACTTTAGGAGGTTTACAGTAATAAAGTAGAGCACCGAATTTATGTCGTAAATATGGACACTGGGAATAAAATCAGGGAAACAAAGTAAATGTGTATGACCAAGTAAAATATTTGATAAAAGAATCAGCAACAGCCAGCGGTATTTAGGTGGAGAGAAGGAGGCGGCCGGGGTGTTGTCTGCCAGAGAAGGCATGGGAGAGCAGGAAACTACCCGGATGGATGTCTGCTCTTGTGTTGTCTAGCCAGAGACCATTATTTGAGAGACGGGACGGAGGAGCATGATACTTTCACCGTTTTCTGCCAGCTAGCTCTTCGATCACTCCTCAAACATCGTTTCCGACATCATGGTCAGGAAGGAGAAACTCTGTGAATGGTTTAAAGCCTTGCCCGCTCACAAAAGGGTGGATTATTTGTGTGGTTTGTTGCATATGTGCCATCCATTAGAACTTCGTTTTACTGGAACCGTCCTAGAAGACTTGGCCAAGAAAGATTTTCATTACTTACGGGAGCAGGAGTTTAAAGCTAATCAGCGAGCAGACTTGTCCAGCAATAATTCTAACAGTTTAAGTGATCAGAAACTTCGGGCGAAGATTATCACGGCGCTGGCGTTGATGAATTCGACCAACTCGCCCTGTGCTGAAGTGATATTCGACATTCTGCAGCAACAATTCGACAATATGCTGGCGATGTTGACTGACTCGGTTGTTGCTGCAGATCTTATCATGATTTTAACTATGGCTGTTCATCATCCAGCATTTACCTTTTATCAGAAGAATAGACTTGGGCAAATTTTAGAAAGAATGGAAGAACGTCTGCAAGAATTATATGGGGTAAGGCACAAACCAGCCAACCAAATCGAAACAAGCAGGAATTGGAAGTGTAGTTATGTGTAGTGATCTATACTTGTTATTGATATTTACAAATTAGTCTTTTACATATATACTTAAGCATACCTGAATATTAACCACAAATTTGCTTACAATTAATCTGATTATTTCTTTTGTCTTTTATCCAATATCCAATTTGAATGGTTCTTTTATGTTCTTTCACCCCATCTCGGGGACCATGATTTTGGAGGGAATTCCTGGGAAAGCCCTATATTATGGGAAAAGGGGGGGGGGGGGTGGGAGAGGGGTTAGTGTTAGTTGGTTTTCAATGAACACCCTACACTATTGGACTTTCCCAGGAATTCCTTTGGAAATATCAGAGCTCTGAGATGGGGTGAATTAAAAGAATCCTCTGTGCTGCTAGGTGTCACAGTTTGACAGAAAATAGGTTGCCATTAGGGCATGCTTGGTGTGTTGTGATGTTGTCAAGTCTTCTGCCGTCATTGACGTCTTTATATAATTGTAAGTCTGTCTCTGCCTTGTACTGTTTTTTTTTAATGATGAAAGCTCTTGCTGGCATCATTGGATTCATTCACACTAGGTAGCTGAGTCATTTCAGTCTTTTTTCTCTGGATTTAACTATGGGTATTGTTCTGATACTTGATACTGTTTTTTATCTTCACTTTTCACAGGATCCTCTCTGGTTTTCTTTAAAGCCTTTCTGAAGCGTCTAATGCACAGGTGGTTAGTTTTGTCTCATTTTATTGAGGTACTGTCCAAGTCTGACACTGGTAACTTAAATTGAGATTGCTGACCACTTCTTATATCCTGTTTGTTTTTGTTTTTTTGATTTATGGTTTTATGAATTCCATTTACAAGTACCCTGTATGCTTTCCAGGCTCATTTTGTGGGGAGGTACAAGAACCGGCTCACTGCTCCCCCCCCCCCCCCCCCTCTTCGCCCTAACTAGCATGTCGCCATGGTTGGCTAATTAGGGGTATTTCTTTTGAAGTCGGAGTGCATCGCCTGAGAGGTGAGAAACCAACAGTCTATTTACAAAAATGTAAAGCCGATGCGGACACAAAGGCCAATTTCTGGAACAAGATCAAAGTCCAGAAGTGAACAAGCAACCAGAACTGTTCACCTGAATTTACAGCCAAAAACAAGCAACCAGAACTGTTCACCTGAATTTACAGCCAAGAAGAAGAATAATTAAGGCATATAGGGCAGTTATTTCGCTAACATTTAAATTCACTGCCAGTTTGCTGGATCTTTGTGGGAGCAGCATGAATGTGAATGTGAATGTCTTTGGTGTGATACATCATGTCTATTTATGTGATAGAACTCAGATCAGGAACATGTCATGAATTTTCTGCCCAGGAAATGTGGGTGTGCAGGGCAATGAGCAGGCTGATAGATTGGCTGTTGCTGCTGCTGTAGGTGATAGGCTACTGTATAAGGTGGGTATGGGGAAGGCTGTCTGGGATAGGCTACTGTATAAGGTGGGTATGGGGAAGGCTGTCTGGGATAGGCTACTGTATAAGGTGGGTATGGGGAAGGCTGTCTGGGATAGGCTACTGTATAAGGTGGGTATGGGGAAGGCTGTCTGGGATAGGATACTGTATAAGGTGGGTATGGGGAAGGCTGTCTGGGATAGGCTACTGTATAAGGTGGGTTTGGGGAAGGCTGTCTGGGATAGGATACTGTATAAGGTGGGTATGGGGAAGGCTATCTGGGATAGGATACTGTATAAGGTGGGTATGGGGAAGGCTGTCTGGGATAGGCTACTGTATAAGGTGGGTTTGGGGAAGGCTGTCTGGGATAGGATACTGTATAAGGTGGGTATGGGGAAGGCTATCTGGGATAGGCTACTGTATAAGGTGGGTATGGGGAAGGCTGTCTGGGATAGGATGTTGTATAAGGTGGGTATGGGGAAGGCTATCTGGGATAGGCTACTGTATAAGGTGGGTATGGGGAAGGCTATCTGGGATAGGCTACTGTATAAGGTGGGTTTGGGGAAGGCTATCTGGGATAGGCTACTGTATAAGGTGGGTATGGGGAAGGCTGTCTGGGATAGGATACTGTATAAGGTGGGTATGGGGAAGGCTGTCTGGGATAGGCTACTGTATAAGGTGGGTATGGGGAAGGCTGTCTGGGATAGGATGCTGTATAAGGTGGGTATGGGGAAGGCTGTCTGGGATAGGATGCTGTATAAGGTGGGTGTGGGGAAGGCTGTGTGGTATCAAGTGGACAGTGCAACAGAACAAAACCGAGTATCCCTCACCTGACAAGATTGATCCACCAGAGAGTCTGTATGATTTTAACTGTGCCTGGGAAAAAACAGGCACACTTTTAATCAGGTTGGGGTTGGCACCTTATAACTGAAAACACTCTTTGGGCTTGATGTACTAGTGTCATCCCCACGACCCAACCCTTTTTACGCCATATTGGCCAACTCCTCCCTCCCCCTTTAGATACTCAGTGTATACTGTTTTGTCTGGTGGCGTCTTCTCCGCCCATTTCCCAGGTATACCGACCCCGTCTATCGCTTCCCGTCTATATATTGGCGATATATAGGCTAGTACCTGTTCTATTCCTCCTCTTGAACAAAGTTTTTCGCCAGGGACACAGATGAGTATCATTTATTTTGTACATTAGAGTCCTATGTAGTCACTTCCTAGTTAGAGCATATTTGTGTATGTGTACTGTGTTCTTTATGTGCTGATGAAGGCTAATCGCTGCAACATCCTTTGTTTATTGTGGTAGTTTTTGTGTTGATTCCTTCATGCAACATTTATGCAATCAGTTGTTGAAAAATTGTTGAACACTTCAGCAAATTGTGTGCTTGTTAATTTACAAATCTTCAACAGGGCCACCTTTTTTTTTAAAACCATAGGATGTTAGTTAACTGTTTAGTTGATTAATGATTTCTCTTTTGTTCTTGGGATTTGTTGAAACATCATCATCATCAACTACTTCTGCACTAAAGTGTCATGGGGAAAAATAATTTGCAATTCAGTGAACATTGGCTGCCATTGGTTGTTGTCATGTCATGAAGACATAGTGTTTTTAATGTTATGTCATGAAGACTTACAGTGTTTTTAATGTTGTCAGTCCATATTTTCATGGCCACCCTCTTGCTCTTGTAGCTGATCATATGAGTTGTAGTCCCTGTGATGGTATTTAGTGTTACTGCCTTCTAACGGGATGGCCAGATCACCGGATCTGCTGTTTCTTGATGAATCTAATCTAGTACAAGATGTTGTTCCCACAGTATGTCTGATAGTACCATTGTTCACGTATCTTGGATGATTAGGTTGGTGGCTTTTCTCAGGCAGCTCATCTTGCAGTTGGTGATTTTACATATACGAGCTTAAGATAATGTCCATGTTTGGCCTGGTAGTTCAGTGTTAGTATGAATATGTTTGTAATTTGAGGTGGGGGGGGGGAGGGGGAGGGCACTCATACCTATGTTTGAATGTCTTAATAATTGTGACTTTGGTATATGTGCACTTGCTTTCTGATGTTTCTGAGTCAAATCTGCCATCTTCCACGATCATACTAGGGGGCTGCCTGGTCTCGAGGCAGTGATTTTTTATCTTCCAGTCCAGTGCTGTACACAGCAGATTTACCATGGGCGGCCAAGAGTCCTGTTTATCTGCTTGGCATTTTATTATCAGTTTTTACTTATGGAAATATATGTAGTAAAGACTTGAGGCCATTTCAAGTTTTTCATGCATCTAGTATTTGTGTCACCCCACACATCTCATGCAGCTAGCCTTTGTGTCACCCCACACATCTCATGCAGCTAGCCTTTCTGTCATCTCACACATCTCATGCAGCTAGCCTTTGTGTCATCCACACATCTCATGCAGCTAGCCTTTGTGTCATCCACATATCTCATGCAGCTAGCCTTTGTGTCATCTCACACATCTCATGCAGCTAGCCTTTCTGTCATCCACACATCTTATGCAGCTAGCCTTTGTGCCATCTCATGCAGCTAGCCTTTGTGTCATCTCACACATCTCATGCATCTAGCCTTTGTGTCATCTCACACATCTCATGCAGCTAGCCTTTGTGTCATCTCACACATCTCATGCAGCTAGCCTTTGTGTCATCTCACACATCTCATACAGCTAGCCTTTGTGTCATCCCACACATCTCATGCAGCTAGCCTTTGTGTCATCTCACACATCTCATGCAGCTAGCCTTTGTGTCATCTCACACATCTCATGCAGCTAGCCTTTGTGTCATCTCACACATCTCATGCAGCTAGCCTTTGTGTCATCTCACACATCTCATGCAGCTAGCCTTTGTGTCATCCACACATCTCATGCAGCTAGCCTTTGTGTCATCTCACACATCTCATGCAGCTAGCCTTTCTGTCATCCACACATCTCATGCAGCTAGCCTTTGTGTCATCTCATACAGCTAGCCTTTGTGTCATCCCACACATTTCATGTAGCTAGCCTTTGTGTCATCTCACACATTTCATGCAGCTAGCCTTTGTGTCATCTCACACATCTCATGCAGCTAGCCTTTGTGTCATCTCACACATCTCATGCAGCTAGCCTTTCTGTCATCTCACACATCTCACGCAGCTAGCCTTTGTGTCATCCCACACATCTCATGCAGCTAGCCTTTCTGTCATCTCACACATCTCACGCAGCTAGCCTTTGTGTCATCCCACACATCTCATACAGCTAGCCTTTGTGTCATCCACACATCTCATGCAGCTAGCCTTTCTGTCATCTCACACATCTCATGCAGCTAGCCTTTGTGTCATCCCACACATCTCATGCAGCTAGCCTTTCTGTCATCCACACATCTCATACAGCTAGCCTTTGTGTCATCCCACACATCTCATGCAGCTAGCCTTTCTGTCATCTGACACATCTCATGCAGCTAGCCTTTCTGTCATCTCACACATCTCATGCAGCTAGCCTTTGTGTCATCCACACATCTCATGCAGCTAGCCTTTGTGTCATCTCACACATCTCATGCAGCTAGCCTTTCTGTCATCTCACACATCTCATGCAGCTAGCCTTTCTGTCATCTCACACATCTCATGCAGCTAGCCTTTCTGTCATCTCAAAGTTTTCTTGAAGTGTCTTCTCATTTGAAGGTATATATCCTTATGTGGGGTTTGAGGCCCCATTTTAGGGGAGACAAGAATCGACCCACTGCCTCCTAAAAAGCATTTGATAAACGCTGACTAATTGGGAGTGTTTCTTTGGAAGTCAGCATCTGCCTGAGAGGCAAGAAACCAACAGTGCACACAGAGCAAGGAACCAACAGTGCACACAAAGCAAGGAACCAACAGTGCACACAGAGCAAGAAACCAACAGTGCACACAGAGCAAGGAACCAACAGTGCACACAGAGCAAGAAACCAACAGTGCACACAGAGCAAGGAACCAACAGTGCACACAGAGCAAGGAACCAACAGTGCACACAGAGCAAGGTACCAACAGTGCACACAGAGCAAGGTACCAACAGTGCACACATAGCAAGGAACCAACAGTGCACACAGAGCAAGGAACCAACAGTGCACACAGAGCAAGGAACCAACAGTGCACACAGAGCAAGGAACCAACAGTACACACAGAGCAAGAAACCAACAGTGCACACAGAGCAAGGAACCAACAGTGCACACAGAGCAAGAAACCAACAGTGCACACAGAGCAAGAAACCAACAGTGCACACAGAGCAAGGAACCAACAGTGCACACAGAGTAAGGAACCAACAGTGCACACAGAGCAAGGAACCAACAGTGCACACAGAGCAAGGAACCAACAGTGCACACAGAGCAAGGAACCAACAGTGCACACAGAGCAAGGAACCAACAGTGCACACAGAGCAAGGAACCAACAGTGCACACAGAGCAAGGAACCAACAGTGCACACAGAGCAAGAAACCAACAGTGCACACAGAGCAAGGAACCAACAGTGCACACAGAGCAAGGAACCAACAGTGCACACAAATAGACCAGATCTGTAAAACAGATGTGAACACAACACTCAAGTTTTGGAACAAGATCTAACTTCAGATGTGGACAAACAGCCAGAGTTTTTAGCCTTTGAATGCTTTGAGAAAATAAGGGATATAACTAATATTTTTATCTGCTAATGAGATTTTCACCTCTCAACTTTAGGGTATAGAATGGGTCAGTCATGAACAAGCAGTGAGAATAAACTAAAGCTAGATAGCACAGACTTGGGGGAAGAAAGATAAAAGGAAGGAATTGATGAATTCACAGTAGTACAAATAGAGTTTGCCCAAAACAGATAGACATAATTATTGAGATGAACATTTGATAGAATAATTTGGCAAAATTATCAGACAAATATTAAAGAGCAAGATTTGTCTGCACAAACACTCGAATATCATAGTTGAAGTATTGTGAGCAGCTAGTGAATGTCTCAGGGTTCAGTGTTGTCACTTCTGTTATCTTGATGGGGACCATTCTATTTGCAGAATGACAGTGACCAAGAAAGCTTGATTTTACCATCTCCAGAGACTACAGTCCAGCCTGGGTCCTTGAATAATAATCAGTCCCCAGTGTGTCCTTCGGAGAAAGGTATGTTGTCTCTACAGGTGGGGAAAACATGTACAGGACCAATGTCTGACCTTAGTTCTTGGACCCTTGGCTGTATCTCAGATAATCAGGGCAGTGTGTGTTACAGTGCAGTGTGTTTGTGTGGAGGAAGGGGGGGGGGGTAGCTTAACAGTTACAGTGCAGTGTGATTGTGTAGAGGGAGGGGGAGGTAGCTTAACAGTTACAGTGCAGTGTGATTGTGTGGAGGAAGGGGGGGGGGGAGGTAGCTTAACAGTTACAGTGCAGTGTGATTGTGTGGAGGGAGGGGGAGGTAGCTTAACAGTTACAGTGCAGTGTGTTTGTGTGGAGGAAGGGGGAGGTAGCTCAACAGTTACAGTGCAGTGTGATTGTGTGGAGGGAGGGGGAGGTCGCTTAACAGTTACAGTGCAGTGTGTTTGTGTGGAGGAAGGTGGAGGTAGCTTAACAGTTACAGTGCAGTGTGATTGTGTAGAGGAAGGGGGAGGTAGCTCAACAGTTACAGTGCAGTGTGTTAGTGTGGAGGAAGGGGGAGGTAGCTAAACAGTTACAGTGCAGTGTGTTTGTGTGGAGGAAGGGGGAGGTAGCTCAACAGTTACAGTGCAGTGTGTTTGTGTGGAGGGAGGGGGAGGTAGCTCAACAGTTACAGTGCAGTGTGTTTGTGTGGAGGGAGGGGGAGGTAGCTTAACAGTTACAGTGCAGTGTGTTTGTGTGGAGGAAGGGGGAGGTAGCTCAACAGTTACAGTGCAGTGTGTTTGTGTGGAGGAAGGGGGAGGTAGCTCAACAGGTGCAGTGTGTTTGTGTGGAGGGAGGGGGAGGTAGCTCAACAGTTACAGTGCAGTGTGATTGTGTAGAGGAAGGGGGAGGTAGCTTAACAGTTACAGTGCAGTGTGATTGTGTGGAGGGAGGAGGAGGTAGCTTAACAGTTACAGGGCAGTGTGTTTGTGTGGAGGGAGGTGGAGGTAGCTTAACAGTTACAGTGCAGTGTGATTGTGTGGAGGGAGGGGGAGGTAGCTTAACAGTTACAGTGCAGTGTAATTGTGTAGAGGAAGGGGGAGGTAGCTTAACAGTTACAGTGCAGTGTGATTGTGTGGAGGAAGGTGGAGGTAGCTTAACAGTTACAGGGCAGTGTGATTGTGTGGAGGTAGCTTAACAGTTACAGGGCAGTGTGTTTGTGTGGAGGGAGGTGGAGGTAGCTTAACAGTTACAGTGCAGTGTGATTGTGTGGAGGGAGGAGGAGATAGCTTAACAGTTACAGGGCAGTGTGTTTGTGTGGAGGGAGGAGGGGGGGTAGCTTAACAGTTACAGGGCAGTGTGTTTGTGTGGAGGGAGGTGGAGGTAGCTTAACAGTTACAGTGCAGTGTGATTGTGTGGAGGGAGGAGGAGATAGCTTAACAGTTACAGGGCAGTGTGTTTGTGTGGAGGGAGGGGGAGATAGCTTAAGTTACAGGGCAGTGTGTTTGTGTGGAGGGAGGGGGAGATTTAACAGTTACAGAGCAGTGTAATGATGTCCTTATGTATAAATAATTGAAGTGATACTGCTGATCCCCATGTGACTTCCCCAGCTGATCCATCTATGACTGATATGATCCATTTCTAACTGCCCCAGCTGATCCATCTCTGACTTCCCCAGCTGATCCATCTATGACTGTCCCAGCTGATCCATCTCTGACTGTCCCAGCTGATCCATCTATGACTGTCCCAGCTGATCCATCTGTGACTGCCCCAGCTAATCTGTCCCAGTGGATCCATCTATGGCTGCCTCAGCTGATCCATCTCTGACTGTCCCAGCTGATCCATCTCTGACTGTCCCAGCTGATCCATCTCTGACTGTACCAGCTGACCCATCTGTGACTGTCCCAGCTGATCCATCTGTGACTGTCCCAGCTGATCCATCTGTGACTGTCCCAGCTGATCCATCTCTGACTGTCCCAGCTGATCCTCATTGACTGTCCCAGCAGATGCCTCTGTGACTGTCCCAGTGGATCCATCTGTGATGCCCCAGCTGATCCATCTGTGACTGCCTGACTAACACATATGTAACTGCCCTTGCGGATCTCTGTTAGCACCATGACTCACACTGACCCACTGTTGGATTATCTGTTGCAGCCACTGTTATGTCTATACAAGTCATCAGTGCTGAGCCCAGTCCCACAAAGAAGGGAGGTGCCAAGTATCGCATACATGTAAGAAATATGTTACTCACCTGCTTTTCTGCTTTATTCTGGTCATGTCTGAAGATCTTCCATTTTAAAAGGTGCACAAAATTATGAGTTTCTGAGATGCATGCATGCATGCTGTTGATACACCCCCCTTCTCTCTCTTTCTCTCTCTTTCTCTCTCTCTCTGTGTCTCTCTCTCTCTCTGTGTGTGTGTGTGCATCAACTGCCATGCATCATACACACATGCAAGCATAAACGCCCCCTCCCCCTTCCACAACGCATGCATGAACACATGCACTCACGCGCATACACACACACACGCAGAGAGAGAGAGAGAGGCATCAACTGTCATACATACACACACTTGACACAGAAGAAGATTTAGCCAGTGAAGTACAGTATCTGTGTTCTTTGTCAGTTTGTAAAATTAGGGCATCGTAAGTGAGCTCTAGCAGTTCAGCATTTCCACAAAGCAACCCAGCTGGGTGTATCAGTTGTACATGTGACAGAGTTACAATCTGTCATTTCTCTTGGTGAGATCTATTGTGGGCTTGTTGAGTTCTTAGAAGTCTTTTTCATAATCTGTTACAGAAATGTTACAGAATGCAGTATAAATCTTACAGAGTGTCACAGAAATCTTACAGGAATGTTACAAAGGTTACAGAAATGTTGCATAAATGTTACAGGAATGTTACAGAAATGTTACAAAATCATGGATGCAAATGGAATATTAAAATAGTTATGTAGCATGGGATTGAAATAGCATGGATTGTGGGAATAGCTGCATGCAGGTTGGGATTAAAACAGTATGGATTTTGGGAAAGTTACACTCAATAATGGGGCTGAAACAACATGGTTTTTGGGAGTAAGTACACATGTAGGATTGAAATAACATGGTTTTTGGGAGTAAGTACACATGTAGGATTGAAATAGCATGGTTTGTGGGAGTAGGTACACATGTAGGATTGAAATAACATGTTTTGTGGGAGTAAGTACACATGTAGGATTGAAATAGCATGGTTTATATGAGTAAGTACACATGTAGGATTGAAATAGCATGGTTTATAGGGGTAAGTACACATGTAGGATTGAAATAGCATGGTTTGTGGGAGTAGGTACACATGTAGGATTGAAATAACATGGTTTGTGGGAGTAGGTACACATGTAGGATTGAAATAACATGTTTTGTGGGAGTAAGTACACATGTAGGATTGAAATAGCATGGTTTATAGGAGTAAGTACACATGTAGGATTGAAATAGCATGGTTTATAGGGGTAAGTACACATGTAGGATTGAAATAGCATGGTTTGTGGGAGTAAGTACACATGTAGGATTGAAATAGCATGGTTTATAGGGGTAAGTACACATGTAGGATTGAAATAGCATGGTTTATAGGAGTAAGTACACATGTATGATTGAAATAGCATGGTTTATAGGAGTAAGTACACATGTATGATTGAAATAGCATGGTTTATAGGGGTAAGTACACATGTAGGATTGAAATAACATGTTTTGTAGGAGTAGGTACACATGTCAGATTGAAATAAAATGTTTTGTGGGAGTAGGTACACATGTAGGATTGAAATAACATGTTTTGTAGGAGTAGGTACACATGTAGGATTGAAATAACATGTTTTGTAGGAGTAAGTACACATGTCAGATTGAAATAAAATGTTTTGTGGGAGTAGGTACACATTTAGAATTTAAATAGCATGTTTATGGGAATAGTTTCATAAATTTGCTGAAATACTAGCAGAAAATGGGAATACAGATGTTGGACTGAAATATTGTGAATCACACATTTGGCTTTGATTGTAAATGATTGATTGTTGTTGTTAAAGTTGATAACAAGCCCAGGCTTGACTCTCCCACGATTGGCTCTCTTCCACAGACAACTTGGTCAAATGATGAAGTCACTGAAGTCTTGTTAAAGTTTAAGCAGTTGCAGGAGTTGCATCATAAGGTAAACCTGTGTGTGTTTTCTTCATGATGTGTGTCCTTCCAGTGTGTGTCCTCATAGTCTCCTCATGATGTGTGTGTCCATTCATGATTCCTTTTAGTTTGTTTGTGTGTGCGTGCGTGCCTTTGTGTGTGTGTCTGCCTGCCTGCCTGCCTGCCTGCCTGCCTGCCTGCCTGTCTGTCTGTCTGTCTGTCTGTCTGTCTGTCTGTCTGTCTGTCTGTCTGTCTGTCTGTGTGGGTTTTTTCCTTCTAGTATACGTCTCTCAAGGTGTATCATCATTGTGTGTTATTTTTTAATTATATGTACGTGTCCTTGTGTGCGTGTGTATTGTTGTGTGTGCGCGCGCATGCATTTGTATCTCTCTCTATCTCTCCCTCACCTCCCCCGTCTGTCCGTCTCCTAGTATGTTAGTGTAAATATATCCTTTTAGTGTGTGTATATCCTAGTGTGTTTGTGTATATCCTCTTAGGGTGTGTGTATACTCCTAGTGTGTGTATATCCTCCTAGTGAATGTGTATATCCTGATAGTGTGTGTGTGTGTGTATCCTTTAAGTGTGTGTGTGAATATTCAATTGCATGTGTCTGTTTCTAACCTGCTAGTGTATGCGTGTTTTCTGTATATCCTAGTGTATGAATGTGTGTGGGTGTGTGTATATATCCTCCTAGCATGTTTATGTCCAGTGTGTGTGTGTGTGTGTATAGCCCTCTTCATATGTGTGTGTGTGTGTGTGTGTCTGCCCATAGTATATGTGTGTGGGTTAATAGTATATGGCGCCTTTTTGATGATATCTCAAGAGATATACATGTATCTGTCTGTCATGAGATGTTCTTTGATGAGATAATATGTTACGATTACGAGTTGAATTTATGATAAGACTAAGTGCTTTATCTACAGAGATATATTTGTGTGTGTTTTTGGGAAGTAATTAGATGAATGGCCTGGTGTGTGTAGCCATCAGGTACAGCTGGCAAATGGACATGTCTGACATCTGCTATTGAATGTTTCTGTCCACAGATACTCAACAGATTCCCAGAGGAGAAGAGGACCCATGCTTCAGTGCCCGTGTTCCCAGGTGAGATTCGACCTGTCTCAGGCTCTGTCCTCATGTTTTCTATTGTCTAACCTGAGTACCCTAGTGTTCCCAGGTGAGAGTTGGGCTATCTCAGGCTCTGTCCTCATGTTGTCTGTTGTCTAACCTGAATACCCTAGTGTTCCCAGGTGAGAGTTGTGCTATCTCAGGCTCTGTCCTCATGTTGTCTGTTGTCTAACCTGAGTACCCTAGTATTCCCAGGTGAGAGTCGACCTGTCTCAGGCTGTGTCCTCATGTTGTCTGTTGTCTAACCTGAATACCCTAGTGTTCCCAGGTGAGAGTTGACCTGTCTCAGGCTCTGACCTCATGTTGTCTGTTGTCTAACCTGAATACCCTAGTGTTCCCAGTTGAGAGTTGACCTGTCTCAGGTTCTGTCCTCATGTTGTCTGTTGTCTAACCTGAATACCCTAGTGTTCCCAGGTGAGAGTTGTGCTATCTCAGGCTCTGTCCTCATGTTGTCTGTTGTCTAACCTGAATACCCTAGTGTTCCCAGGTGAGAGTTGACCTATCTCAGGCTCTGTCCTCATGTTGTCTGTTGTCTAACCTGAATACCCTAGTGTTCCCAGGTGAGAGTTGACCCGTCTCAGGCTCTGACCTCATGTTGTCTGTTGTCTTACCTGAATACCCTAGTGTTCCCAGGTGAGAGTTGACCTGTCTCAGGCTCTGTCCTCATGTTGTCTTACCTGAATACCCTAGTGTTCCCAGGTGAGAGTTGACCTGTCTCAGGCTCTGTCCTCATGTTGTCTTACCTGAATACCCTAGTGTTCCCAGGTGAGAGTTGACCTGTCTCAGGCTCTGTCCTCATTTTGTCTGTTGTCTTACCTGAATACCCTAGTGTTCCCAGGTGAGAGTTGACCTGTCTCAGGCTCTGTCCTCATGTTGTCTGTTGTCTGACCTGAATACCCTAGTGTTCCCAGGTGAGAGTTGACCTGTCTCAGGCTCTGTCCTCATGTTGTCTGTTGTCTAACCTGAACACCCTAATGTTCCCAGGTGAGAGTTGACCTGTCTCAGGCTCTGTCCTCATGTTGTCTGTTGTCTAACCTGAATACCCTAGTGTTCCCAGGTGAGAGTTGTGCTATCTCAGGCTCTGTCCCTATGTTGTCTGTTGTCTAACCTGAATACCCTAGTGTTCCCAGGTGAGAGTTGACCTGTCTCAAGCTGTGTCCTTATGTTGTCTGTTGTCTTACCTGAATACCCTAGTGTTCCCAGGTGAGAGTTGACCTGTCTCAGGCTCTGTCCTCATGTTGTCTGTTGTCTAACCTGAATACCCTAGTGTTCCCAGGTGAGAGTTGTGCTATCTCAGGCTCTGTCCTCATGTTGTCTGTTGTCTAACCTGAATACCCTAGTGTTCCCAGGTGAGAGTTGACCTGTCTCAGGCTGTGTCCTCATGTTGTCTGTTGTCTAACCTGAGTACCCTAGTGTTCCCAGGTGAGAGTTGGGCTATCTCAGGCTCTGACCTCATGTTGTCTGTTGTCTAACCTGAATACCCTAGTGTTCCCAGGTGAGAGTTGACCTATCTCAGGCTCTGTCCTCATGTTGTCTGTTGTCTAACCTGAATACCCTAATGTTCCCAGGTGAGAGTTGACCTGTCTCAGGCTCTGTCCTCATGTTGTCTGTTGTCTAACCTGAATACCCTAGTGTTCCCAAGTGAGAGTTGTGCTATCTCAGGCTCTGTCCTTATGTTGTCTGTTGTCTAACCTGAATACCCTAGTGTTCCCAGGTGAGAGTTGACCTGTCTCAGGCTGTGTCCTTATGTTGTCTGTTGTCTAACCTGAATACCCTAATGTTCCCAGGTGAGAGTTGACCTGTCTCAGGCTCTGTCCTCATGTTGTCTGTTGTCTAACCTGAATACCCTAGTGTTCCCAAGTGAGAGTTGTGCTATCTCAGGCTCTGTCCTTATGTCTGTTGTCTAACCTGAATACCCTAGTGTTCCCAGGTGAGAGTTGACCTGTCTCAGGCTGTGTCCTTATGTTGTCTGTTGTCTTACCTGACTACCCTAGTGTTCCCAGGTGAGAGTTGACCTGTCTCAGGCTCTGTCCTCATGTTGTCTGTTGTCTCACCTGAATACCCTAGTGTTACCAGGTGAGAGTTGTGCTATCTCAGGCTCTGTCCTCATGTTGTCTGTTGTCTAACCTGAATACCCTAGTGTTCCCAGGTGAGAGTTGACCTGTCTCAGGCTCTGTCCTTATGTTGTCTGTTGTCTAAACAGGGTATTCTCATCATTTGTCTATTAAACCACATCTCCGCAGCTTCCAAATAAGTTTTCACTATTTTACCAACTGTCCTACTGCTGTTTACAGCACAGATGCAATATTTGCATCTTTCGGCCAACACATCCGATTTCATCAAGCAGTTGCTTGACATGTTGTTGTTGCCTTATTTGTTTGGTGATCATTTGATCCCATTACCTGCAGATGTTGCCCTTGGAGACCCTTTTCAGGGCATCAGTGTGTAGACTGGTCGGCCCTCAATGAAAGGCAGGGCAGATCATAGGCCTTTCCCACCACCCAAGAAGGTTTCCATAAATGCAGAGCTGACACATGACGCTGTGGCCCTGGAATGACTCAAGGAATCGTCATGACCTGCACATGACTGCTTAACCTTGCATCTGTATGTTGAGCTTTCCTCTCCACAGGCTGCCCCCTCCGGAGATCAGCAGGAAGCAGCCAGCAGGTCTGGGACTTGGATGACCACAATAAATAGGTCCATTATTTTCTCGTGTGTTTGACATCTTTAACCTTGTTTCACCTGGACACGTAGCAGGACATTATGGAAAAAGCACCCATCAGACATGCCTTCCTGGCTAGTGGGGCACATGATAACGGACTTTTGAACCTTTCTGCTAGCCAGTCTGTCACTGAGAGTTTTGCTGTAGCACCATAGGACATGTATCTGTCGCACATCTTGACTTAATCTGACAACAGATATTGGCAGGTTGTTTTGGTGTGTTTCAGCGCGGTAATGAGGACATTTAGGGCCGCCAGAGGATGTTCGGGGACAATACTATCCAGCGACAAACTCCCCACATAAGATGTTGCTTGAATCAGCTGCTGGCAAATCTCTTGGTCTAAGACTGAGTCTCAACAGTTTTATTTCCCCTCTCAACGGATGTTTTAACCGAGAGTTGTCATTTAGTAAAATATTCAGCACGTGGTTGTTACTCATGTTTCAAATGAAATTAGATAGATTTTTTCATCAATGCATTTGGAGTGGGTTGATAACAGTCAGACTGGACACCACATCTATGTGGGCAACTAACTCCAAGATCCCCTGCCAGCTTGGTTCAGGTCATAAAGGTCAGCAATTATCTATAGCGCACAGTGAGGATGAGTGGCAGGACTCTAGCATGAGGATCTGTAAAACTAGCACAGTGAGGATGTGTGGCAGGAGTCTTGCATGAGGATCTGTAAAACTAGCACAGAGCCTGCTGGTGCCCGAGGTGTGGTACAGAGTATCTCCCTAAACACAACAACCTTAACTTTCCCTGGCGCCTGTGACCAAAATCACCATGCCACTAACATCACTTCGGCTGTCTTTAATTGGGTGGGCAGATTATAGAAAAATCTGTCCCTGTGAGGATTTGAACCCAAAACCTTTGTCTTAGAGGGCAGATGCCCAACCAGTGGGCCACCCCTGCACCCACTGAAGACATACAACTGTTGTGCTTGATACTAGATTGTCCATGTGTCTGCTGCATTTGACAGTTGTTGATTTAATTGTCAGGTATACAAGCCCACAACAACATGGAGTCTCCGTCAGAGCAGATCAACGCACTGAACACATATTTTAGGTCAGTTTTGTTGTGTCCTCACATATGAACCATTACATCTAGTCCTCATCTTTGTGCTATGATACCTAGTCTTCCCCTAGAGCCCGATGTCTAGTGCTCACCTGTTTACTGTGATATCTTGTGCTCTCCTGTGTGCTGTGATGTCTAGTGTTCCCCTGTATGCTGTGATGTCTAGTGCTATCCTGTGTGCTATGATGTCTAGTCCTCACCTGTATGCTGTGATGTCTAGTGTTCACCTGTGTGCTATGCTGTCTAGTCCTCACCTGTGTGCTATATATAGTCCTCACCTGTGTGCTGTGATGTCTAGTGCTCACCTGTGTGCTATGCTGTCTAGTCCTCACCTGTGTGCTATATATAGTCCTCACCTGTGTGCTGTGATGTCTAGTGCTCACCTGTGTGCTATATCTAGTCCTCACCTGTGTGCTATATCTAGTCCTCACCTGTGTGCTGTGATGTCTAGTCCTCACCTGTGTGCTGTAATGTCTAGTCCTCACCGGTGTGCTGTGATGTCTAGTGCTCACCTGTGTGCAATAATGTCTAATGCTCACCTTTGTGCTGTGATGTCTAGTCCTTACCTCTGGGCTGTGATGTCTAGTCCTCACCTGTGTGCTGCGATGTCTAGTCCCAACCTGTGTGCCAAAATATCTAGTGCTTACCTGTGTGCTTTGATGTCTGTACGGTTGTGTCCTTATCTTTGTTCAGTGATGTCTATAGTGTTTTTTGGTTTTTTTATAATCCATCTTTTTGTCTTATTTGTCTGTTGCTTTATTTTCACAAAATTGCAACATTAATTTAGTCACTTGTGATTATGCTTGTGGATACTGCACATGTCTGTATGAACATACATGTCTGTATGAACATCCATGTCTGTATGAACATCCATGTCTGTATGAACATCCATGTCTGTATGAACATCCATGTCTGTATGAACATCCATGTCTGTATGAACATCCATGTCTGTATGAACATTCATGTCTGTATGAACATCCATGTCTGTAAGAACATCTATGTCTGTAAGAACATCTATGTCTGTATGAAATCCATGTCTGTATGAACATCTATGTCTGTAAGAACATCTATGTCTGTATGAAATCCATGTCTGTATGAACATCTAACCAGACAGGCTGCATATCTCCAGCTGTATATTTGTCTTATCTTCTCTTGCTTTCATTCATTTCATCATGTTGTGCATACGTCAGATACAGTTGTATATACCAGTGCATGTTGTGCATACGTCAGATACAGTTGTATATACCAGTGCATGTTGTGCATACGTCAAATACAGTTGTATATACCAGTGCATGTTGTGCATACGTCAAATACAGTTGTATATACCAGTGCATGTTGTGCATACGTCAGATACAGTTGTATATACCAGTGCATGTTGTGCATACGTCAGATACAGTTGTATATACCAGTGCAAATATAAATGTCGGGGAACCTGCATCGGTCGAATGGAGAAACAACTTGAAAAATGGTAGCAAAATATATCCTGAACGACTCCACACACATCTGGACTGGGTAGAGATATATCCCTGAATGGCTCCACAGACAGCTGAGTGAAGATATATCCCTGAATGGCCCCACACACAACTGGGTGGAGATATATTCCTGAATGGCCCCACAGACAACTGAGTGGAGATATATCCCTGAATGGCCCCACACACAACTGGGTGGAGATATATCCCTGAATGGCTCCACAAACAACTGAGTGGAGATATATCCCTGAATGGCCCCACACACAACTGGGTGGAGATATATCCCTGAATGGCTCCACAGACAACTGGGTGGAGATATATCCCTGAATGGCTCCACAAACAACTGAGTGGAGATATATCCCTGAATGGCCCCACACACAACTGGGTGGAGATATATCCCTGAATGGCTCTACACACAACTGAGTGGAGATATATCCCTGAATGGCGCCACACACAACTAGGTGGAGATATATCCCTGAATGGCTCTACACACAACTGGGTGGAGATATATCCCTGAATGGCTCTACACACAACTGAGTGGAGATATATCCCTGAATGGCTCTACACACAACTGGGTGGAGATATATTCCTGAATGGCTCCACAGACAACTGAGTGGAGATATATCCCTGAGTGGCTCTACACACAACTGGGTGGAGATATATCCCTGAGTGGCTCTACACACAACTGGGTGGAGATATATCCCTGAATGGCCCCACATACAACTAGGTGGAGATATATCCCTGAATGGCTCTACACACAACTGAGTGGAGATATATCCCTGAGTGGCTCTACACACAACTGGGTGGAGATATATCCCTGAGTGGCTCTACACACAACTGAGTGGAGATATATCCCTGAATGGCTCTACACACAACTAGGTGGAGATATATCCCTGAATGGCTCCACAGACAACTGAGTGGAGATATATCCCTGAGTGGCTCCACACACAACTAGGTGGAGATATATCCCTGAATGGCCCCACACACAACTGGTTGGAGATATATCCCTGAATGGCTCCACAGACAACTGAGTGGAGATATATCCCTGAGTGGCTCCACACACAACTGAGTGGAGATATATCCCTGAATGGCTCTACACACAACTGAGTGGAGATATATCCCTGAATGGCTCCACAGACAACTGGTTGGAGATATATCCCTGAATGGCTCTACAGACAACTGAGTGGAGATATATCCCTGAATGGCCCCACACACAACTGAGTGGAGATATATTCCTGAATGGCTCCACAGACAACTGGGTGGAGATATATCCCTGAATGGCTCCACAGACAACTGAGTGGAGATATATCCCTGAGTGGCCCCACACACAACTGGTTGGAGATATATCCCTGAATGGCCCCACACACAACTGGTTGGAGATATATTCCTGAATGGCTCTACACACAACTGAGTGGAGATATATCCCTGAATGGCTCCACAGACAACTGGTTGGAGATATATCCCTGAATGGCTTCACACACAACTGGGCAGAGATACTGCAAATGTGTCAGGATCAACGAAGAGGAAAGGGGACAGTTCTTCGACAGGATGTCATTTGCCTGACTCCAGGCGTGTAACTGGTAAGAAATGGGTCTGTTGTGTTATTCACCACACACTAGACAGGCAGTTACTTGAATTGGCAGAAGCTGTAGCAGTAACAATTCCCCATGTTATGTAAACAGAAAGATCATGTTTTATAAATGAAACTGTATTGTAGTCTTGACTATCTTCAACCTGTGGCTGTAGGTGAACAGTGGAAAAGACATTGCCATTTGGCTGTATCAGGGGACGAATTCAGCAGACTTGTTGAAACAAATGTTGCAATGTGTTTATGTCCACATTGGTTAAATTCACATGGATAAACATTGTTTGGAATAATTTTAGTATTTTAATATTATATTGTTTTAAGCCAGTTTCCTTGTTTTAGGATTAATTTAACTGTTTAAAAAATAATTACACCATTTTGTGAATAATTTCACTGTTTTCTGAAAGGTGTTACCATTTTGAGAATTAATTGACTTGTTTTAAGACAAATATTCTTGTCTGTTGCCCACAGTAAACTGGTAAAGGCCCCAGCACATATCCTTGACTGTGATATCCTGACTGGACCATTGAGGAGTGGAACTCTAGTCTACCGGTCCAGGTCTGCCTCCAACCCATTGATCTCAACCACAGCCACTATGTCATCGTCGTCTCACACGCAGGCCGTGTTTGTTCAGACGAGCCCATTGCGAGAGGGTGCCAGCCTGTTAGGAGAAGGTATAAACCTTTTGAGAGTGAATTCTGTCTCTTGAGAGAAAGTGCAGGCCTATTAAGTGAATGTATGTCTGTTGAGAGTCAATTCTGTCTCTTGAGAGAAAGTGCAGGCCTATTAAGTGAATGTATGTCTGTTGAGAGAAGGTGTAGGTCTGCTGAGTGAATATATATCTGTTGAGAGAAGGTGACAGTCCATTGAGTGAGTGTATGTCTATTGTGAGAAAGTGCAGGTCTGTTAAGTGAGTGTATGTCTGTTGAGTAAATGTGCAGGTCTATGGAGTGAGTGTATGTCTGTTGAGAGAAGGTACAGGTTCATGGAGTGAGTGTATGTCTGTTGAGAGAAGGTACAGGTCTATTGAGTGAGTGTATATCTGTTGAGAGAAGGTACATGTTTATGGAGTGAGTGTTTGTCTGTTCAAAGAAGGTACAGGTCCATGGAGTGAGTGTATATCTGTTGAGAGAAGGTACAGGGCCATTAAGTGAGTGTATCTTTGTTGAGTCGAGCTACAGGTCCATGGAGTGAGTGTGTGTCTCTTGAGAGAACATATGAGTCTGTTGAGAGAAGGTGCAGGTCTGTTGGGTGAATGTATGTCTGTTGAGAGAAGATGCAGTTCTGTTGATTTAATATATGTATGTTGAGAGAAGATGTATGTCTGTTGAGAAAATTTAGTATGTTTAGTGAAGCTGCAGGATTGTTGTAAGTGAATGTATGTTTAGTAAAGTTGCATGTCTGTTGAGTGAATGTATGTTGAGAGAATGTGCAGGTCTGTTGAGTGAACGTATGTCTGTTTGAGAAGATGTGTTTGTTGAGAGAATCCTTAAAGAGATGAAGAGAGTGATGAGTACAGTCAAGCTGATACCATGAAATGAATCCATTGAACTGTGACTAAAAAGCTTAACAAAAGGGAAAATGGAAACAATGTGCTGTTTCGGCCGAGGCTTTTCTAGACATTTTACTACACACAACAGTATTCAAGGGCAAAGTACTCCAACCACCAGTGTCCACCAGGGCATCATGTAAATAACTAAAATATAGGAAGAGACAAAGGTGATGTGGAATGGATGACTTAAAATAAATGAAGTAGTGAAATAGTAGTAACAGTAATAGTGACAATGTATAATAGTAGTAGGGATAAAAATAACTCCTGATCCATAAAACAAATAGAACAAGATAAAATAAAAGGGAGAATTGTTAAATTGTTTAGATGATGACCTTCTGAACATTGCTTCCTGCTGGGCTTAGAGCACCTAGACTTATGTGGATGAGGAACACATGGTTTGATCACCAGAGCAAGATTTTTATGGCAGTGACAAATATTTCCTTTTTACCTCTCTGGTCAGAGCTCTTCAAATGAGGGATTGGCTCGAGTGTTTTCTTTTCAATATCTGACTTCTGCTGTCATTTGTTGCGCAGGTTAGCCTTCTAGGTCGGCAAAACCAGGTGAGGGTAGCCGATGTTTTAACATCAGTGAGTTAGGATCTGCCTGTCCAAGCATGCAAAGACTACTGTCGGCAGAATGCGCGGAGGAAACCATCTTTGGTTCAACGGGCAAGACGGCGACACTAGCAAAGCGCTGTGGAGCACATAGAGCATGGCGAGGCACGTAGAACGCCCTGGTCATCCACTGAACCTAGACATATCTCCAGTCGTCCTGACTCTGTCTTGCCACTGGACCCAGACATGACTTAGGCGAGAGAGTGAGGTCGACGACACTGCGCAACTCTTCCTCACTTTCATCCAAGTCACCGCGCAAGTCACTCTTTCATCATTCACTTATCTAGGCAGCACCCTTTCACAGAGTGCCACAGTTGATGATGAAGTTAATGCAAGGATCTCTAGGGCTAGGGTTGCCTTTGGCAGATTGTATAAAAATGTTTGGAACAAAAGTGACATAACCCTGCCGTCAAAGCTTAAAGTATACAGAGCAGTTGTATTAACAACACTGCTGTACGCATGCGAAACATGGACTGTATACCAGCGCCAGGCTATAAAGTTAAACCACTTTCATACAGTCTGCCTTAGAGACTGGACTGCATTGTTGTTATAACTGCAGTCCATATCAGATGGCAAGACAAAGTACCTGATACCGTAGTCCTTGAGAAAGCAGCCATGCCCAGCATCCACACTCTACTGATGCAGTATCAATTTCGTTGGGCTGGTCATGTGGCACGCATGATAGATCACAGGCTCCCAAAAAAACTCTTCTATGATAAACTGCAAAATGGGAAACATTCCCAAGGCGGGCAAAAGAAACACTTTAAGGACACCTTGAAGTCTTCACTCAAAGCATTTGGGATGAATGACACCAAAATGCATGGCGTGCACTCTACACAAGGGCGCGGCTACATGTGAAGCAAACAGAACAGCAAGACTGATTAAGAAAAAGATGGACAGAAAGGCGGCTGCAGGAGATCTCCTCCCTGGCACCAAGCAAATTCCCTGTCCTCACTGTCCAAGAACTTTTCGGGCCCGCATCGGCCTCACCAGTCATCTTCGTTCTCATACTTGATGAAAAAAGAGTGGTCATCATCATCTTGATGGACAACACACACACACACGCGCGCGTGCGCACACACACACACGCACACACACATTGATATATGCTACTCTACATAATACTGTCTGTGGTATCTGACCCAGGAGCCTAATATAACTGACATACCTGACAGATGTTACCTCTGATGTCTTTCAGATCGCAAGTATGAGTTTGCACCCTACCACCAACCCATGTAAGTAGGGTTCTATGTTTCTGTGAGTCAGTCAATTTGTTTTGTGTGTGTCTGCATTATGCTGTGTGTCTCTCTCTCTCTCTCTCTCTCTCACTCTCTCTCACTCTCTCTCTCTCTCTTTCTCTCTCTGCGTGTGTGTGTGCGTGCTCAGTTGATCCGTCTGTGTGATGACACTCTTGTCTGTGCGTGTCTCTAAAGTCTGTACACAGAAAATCAAAGTGAATATGCTAAAATTGAGGGCAGTGGGGATTTATTACAAGTTCACATGAATTTTACAAAGCACATCCACCTTGGCATAGCAAATGATGGAAATCATATGAAAAATGTTAGTTAATATTCTAGTTGAATAAAATATTGTTAATAAATGTAATTTCTTGAAAATGTGTCTTTGCCAATTCGTCCAGATTTTAGGGACACATGGTCTAGGCAGCTGATAGGTTTAGAACTCAGCCTCCAACCAGAAGCATGTTAAATGCACCTGTTTACATCTATGTTCCTCAAACTCCATGTTCTAATTTTGGAATACCTTACTTAATGTGAGCAGGTCTTGCTAGTCACACTTGCCATCACTGTGATGTCTGCACCAACAACTTGGAGGCTCCTGCACCAGTCACAGACGACATGTTTCAGAGTTACTGAGTGATGTTGTGTGGAATAGTTAATGTTTACTAGACTTCATATGTGTCTAACATTGTCTGGCAGAATGATGTCCTACCCCAGTGTGATCCCTCACTCCCACTACTCGTCTGGAGCGTCACAGAACTCATCAGCTGCCAACTCCCCTATCAACTCCGGCACCTCGTCCCCGGCACCGGTGACCGGTAACCTTGGAAGTAAGATCAGCTACACTTTCCCAGGGAGTGTGAAGGACAACAGTGGGGCTATGTCTGAGGCCAGCCTGCTGCACCCAGTGCCCAATGCTGACCAAGTCTCCCAGCTGCTGAGTCTGCTCAACATGGAGGAGTACGTAGACAATCTCAAGGATTACCCGTTCCAGCAGGTTGGTTGTCTGCCGCTTGTTTCAGCTGTATCTCTTCTTCTTCACGTTCACCAGCTGTCAACTCTGGCGGAAAGTTCTGCTTGTTCATTCACTACTGGACTGCAGTCCTGTTCCAGGACCTGAGTGTTGCATGTGCATCCGTTTTACAGACCTGACTCATTTGAATGCAGACTGCTGGTTCCTTGCCTCTCAGGCAGATGCACTCCGACTTCGAAGGAAGCTCCCAATTAGTTGACTTTTACGACATGCTTTTGTGTAGGCAGTGAGTCTATTCTTGTTTTCCCTATGATAGGGCCCCGGAACCCCCACAGGTAAGCTGAATATCTGAGTCACTCAGTTGTATCTTCTTGTGTTCACTTTCTGATTGACACCGACAGGCAGGTCCTTGTGATAAACTTGACTGTTTTGACTCAGCGGACCAGCATTCCGTTCTTGCAGGACGTATCTGCAGTCAACACACTGTTGTGAGTCCCCAAGTAGATAGATGCTTTTGTGATGTTTTCTTGTTAACACTTCGACTCCACTAGAGAAACTGGACTAGTATCCGAGCTGTGTTTCTCTCAGACACAGTCCTGGATATCCAAGAAAACAGCCATTTTTAGCTTATTATGTAAATTAACAGCAGCTGCACTTGGTACCCACAGGAGAAGGAAAGGGGTTTTAAATGTCTGTGGTGACTGGATCACAACACTTACAGGGTGACTGGAACACAACACTTACAGGGTGACTGGAACACAACACTTACAGGGTGACTGGAACACAACACTTACAGGGTGACTGGAACACAACACTTACAGGGTGACTGGAACACAACACTTACAGGGTGACTGGAACACAACACTTACAGGGTGACTGGAACACAACACTTACAGGGTGACTGGAACACAACACTTACAGGGTGACTGGAACACAACCAATACAGGGTGACTGGAACATAACACTTACAGGGTGGCTGGAACACAACCCGTACACGGTGACTGGAACACAACCCGTACACGGTGACTGGAACACAACACTTACAGGGTGACTGGAACACAACACTTACAGGGTGACTGGATCACAACACTTACAGGGTGACTGGATCACAACACTTACAGGGTGACTGGAACACAACACTTACAGGGTGACTGGATCACAACACTTACAGGGTGACTGGAACACAACACTTACAGGGTGACTGGAACACAACACTTACAGGGTGACTGGAACATAACACTTACAGGGTGGCTGGAACACAACCCGTACACGGTGACTGGAACACAACCCGTACACGGTGACTGGAACACAACACTTACAGGGTGACTGGAACACAGCACTTACAGGGTGACTGGAACACAACACTTACAGGGTGACTGGAACACAGCACTTACAGGGTGACTGGATCACAACACTTACAGGGTGAATGGAACACAACACTTACAGGGTGACTGGATCACAACACTTACAGGGTGACTGGAACACAACACTTACAGGGTGACTGGATCACAACACTTACAGGGTGACTGGAACACAACACTTACAGGGTGACTGGAACACAACACTTACAGGGTGACTGGAACACAGCACTTACAGGGTGGCTAGAACACAACCCGTACAGGGTGACTGGAACACAACACTTACAGGGTGACTGGAACACAGCACTTACAGGGTGACTGGAACACAACCAATACAGGGTGACTGAATTGCCTTGAAGTTGGGACAGCAGCTAACAGCTGTACCCTTGAAAAATATAACACTAATTGACATGTGGAGATTATTTGGAAATCAGTTCGCATGTGTAGCGATGTGTGGTGATTATTTTGTTAGCCTATTCCCTACTCAGTGAAAAATGTGCAACTCACTGGAGACTTATGCTGGAGATCAAAAATGCCTATGTCAGGTGTGCAGCTTGAGATGATGATGTCCCTGGATTCTCACTGGACCTGCCTGGACTTGTTTCTAACTGACATCATGTTGTTGAGTGAGTTAGACCACAATGATGTCCCTGGATTCTCACTGGACCTGCCTGGACTTGTTTCTAACTGACATCATGTTGTTGAGTGAGTTAGACCACAGTGATGTCCCTGGATTCTCACTGGACCTGCCTGGACTTGTTTCTTACTGACATCATGTTGTTGAGTGAGTTAGACCACAATGATGTCCCTGGATTCTCACTGGACCTGCCTGGACTTGTTTCTAACTGACATCATGTTGTTGAGTGAGTTAGACCACAATGATGTCCCTGGATTCTCACTGGACCTGCCTGGACTTGTTTCTGACATCATGTTGTTGAGTGAGTTAGACCACAATGATGTCCCTGGATTCTCACTGGACCTGCCTGGACTTGTTTCTAACTGACATCATGTTGTTGAGTGAGTTAGACCACAATGATGTCAACCACACCCTCTGGAGTCGGTCAGATGTCTGCTGCAGTTCCAACAACAATGATGTCAACCACACCTTCTGGAGTCGGTCAGATGTTTACTGCAGTTCTAACAACAATGATGTCAACCACACCTTCTGGAGTCGGTCAGATGTTTACTGCAGTTCCAACAACAATGATGTCAACCACACCTTCTGGAGTCGGTCAGATGTTTACTGCAGTTCCAACAACAATGATGTCAACCACACCTTCTGGAGTCGGTCAGATGTTTGCTGCAGTTCCAACAACAGTGATGTCAACCACACCTTCTGGAGTCGGTCAGATGTTTGCTGCAGTTCCAACAACAGTGATGTCAACCACACCTTCTGGAGTCGGTCAGATGTTTACTGCAGTTCCAACAACAATGATGTCAACCACACCTTCTGGAGTCGGTCAGATGTTTACTGCAGTTCCAACAACAATGATGTCAACCACACCTTCTGGAGTCGGTCAGATGTTTGCTGCAGTTCCAACAACAATGATGTCAACCACACCTTCTGGAGTCAGTCAAATGTTTACTGCAGTTCCAACAACAATGCAGTCCAGTTGGTAGTCTCGTTACCTAGTCATCGTGAAACTGGCTGACACAAAGTATGGCAGATAACATCATTCGTCCAGCACACAAGTATTGACCTTTCAGTCCAGGCTCCTCATTTTAACGAACATGCATGGAATCAGGTGAGGTGACATCAGCACAGAGCTGCCTTCTAGTGGCTCAGCTGTTAGTTTACCAACACAGTATCTAACCAGTAATACCCAAGAGGCTCAGTTCAACAACAGCTGATATAGACACTGACGTATGATTTTCAACTCACACAAATTGGCAAACTAGAGCACATCAGATGGAAGATGCATCTCGGAGATTTAAACAAAACAACAACAGAATGAGACAAGCACAGACTGCATTCACGCAGTCAACAACATGCCATGGCCCAACAGATACCCTGTAGAATTAGATACTGACTTTTTTTGTTTTCATGTAATTATTTCAGACAGATGCTTTAGTACATTGGGGTTCTTAGTGAAGAGAATTTTAGTTTTACTGTTTCCGTTTAAAATCTTGTGTGTGTGTGTATATATATATATATATATATAAAGTGAAGATAATTGTAGTTTTGCTAATTCATAGTCAATGTAATTCTGTGTGTTTCTTCAGCTGATACACATGAGCAAGGAGGATCTTGCCAAGGCTGGTCTGTCTCCGGAAGCTCAGGCAAAACTCAAGTGTCAGTTGGACAAGATACGGTAAGTGCACTCTGTTGTGTACATAGAGGGACACCAACACACTTGTGTACATAGACAGACACCAGCGCACACACTTGTGTACATGGACAGACACCAGTGCACAGACTTGTGTACATGGACAGACACTAGCGCACACACTTGTGTACATAGACAGACACCAGCGCACACACTTGTGTACATAGACAGATGCCAGCGCACACACTTGTGTACATAGACAGACACCAGCGCACAGACTTGTGTACATGAACAGACACCAGTGCACACACTTGTGTACATGGACAGACACTAGCGCAGAGACTTGTGTACATAGACAGACACTAGCGCACAGACTTGTGTACATGGACAGACACTAGTGCACACACTTGTGTACATAGACAGACACTAGTGCACACACTTTTGTACATAGACAGACACTAGTGCACACACTTGTGTACATGGACAGACACCAGCGCACAGACTTGTGTACATAGACAGACACTAGCGCACACACTTGTGTATATAGACAGACACCAGCGCACACACTTGTGTACATAGACAGACACCAGCCCACACACTTGTGTACATAGACAGACACTAGCGCACACACTTGTGTACATAGACAGACACCAGTGCACACACTTGTGTACATAGACACCAGTGCACACACTTGTGTACATAGACACTAGTGCACAGACTTGTGTACATGGACAGACACTAGCGCACACACTTGTGTACATGGACAGACACCAGCGCACAAACTTGTGTACATAGACAGACACCAGCGCACAAACTTGTGTACATAGACAGACACTAGTGCACAAACTTGTGTACATAGACAGACACTAGCGCACAGACTTGTGTACATAGACAGACACTAGCGCACAAACTTGTGTACTTAGACAGACACCAGCGCACAAACTTGTGTACATAGACAGACACTAGTGCACAAACTTGTGTACATAGACAGACAACAGCGCACACACTTGTGTACATAGACAGACACCAGCGCACAAACTTGTGTACACAGGCAGACACTAGCGCACACACTTGCTTCTGTCACTTGTTTGTCTGTCTGCCAACAGCTACCCTGTAACACACTGCTACTGTTTTTGCCTATCAACATTGACTGTAATCCATTCATGTGTTACCTCACAGAAAACAAAGAATAGCACCCCTGCACGCTACTAGGCAGGCTGTAAGAGGTGCACCCCTACACGCTACTAGGCAGGCTGTAAGAGGTGCACCCCTACACGCTACTAGGCATCTGTAAGAGGTGCACCTCTACACGCTACTAGGCATCTGTAAGAGGTGCACCTCTACACGCTACTAGGCAGGCTGTAAGAGGTGCACCCCTACACGCTACTAGGCAGGCTGTAAGAGGTGCACCCGTACACACTACTAGGCATCTGTAAGAGGTGCACCTCTACACGCTACTAGGCAGGCTGTAAGAGGTGCACCCCTACACGCTACTAGGCAGGCTGTAAGAGGTGCACCCCTACACGCTACTAGGCAGGCTGTAAGAGGTGCACCCCTACACGCTACTAGGCAGGGTGTAAGAGGTGCACCCATACATGCTACTAGGCAGGCTGTAAGAGGTGCACCCCTGCACGCTACTAGGCAGGCTGTAAGAGGTGCACCCCTGTACGCTACTAGACAGGCTGTAAGAGGTGCACCCCTGCACGCTACTAGGTAGGCTGTAAGAGGTGCACCCCTGCACGCTACTAGGCAGGCTGTAAGAGGTGCACCCCTACACGCTACTAGGCAGGCTGTAAGAGGTGCACCCCTACACGCTACTAGGCAGGCTGTAAGAGGTGCACACCTGCACGCTACTATGCAGGCTGTAAGAGGTGCACCCCTGCACGCTACTAGGCAGGCTGTAAGAGGTGCACCCCTGCACGCTACTAGGCAGGCTGTAAGAGGTGCACCCCTACACGCTACTAGGCAGGCTGTAAGAGGTGCACCCCTACACGCTACTAGGCAGGCTGTAAGAGTGCACCCCTAAATGCTACTAGGAAGGCTGTAGGAGTACACCCCTACATGCTACTAGGCAGGCTGTAAGAGTGCACCCCTACATGCTACTATGCAGGCTGTAAGAGTGCACCCCTACATGCTTCTAGGCAGGCTGTAAGAGTGCACCCCTACATGCTACTAGGCAGGCTGTAAGAGTGCACCCCTACATGCTACTAGGCAGGCTGTAAGAGTGCACCCCTACATGCTACTATGCAGGCTGTAAGAGTGCACCCCTACATGCTACTTTGCAGGCTGTAAGAGTCCACCCCTACACGCTACTAGGCAGGCTGTAAGAGTGCACCCCTAAACGCTACTAGGCAGGCTGTAAGATGTGACTCAGGTTAGGCTTGGGCAGGTTCTTCTGACAGCAGAATGATGTTGCACGCAGAGAAAGCTGAGAGATTCCATATCTCCGACAAAACTCTTTTCACCTGGGAAAATCTTAAGCAGTTTCACCTGGTAGTTTAGAACTGTATGTGAAGTGGAAAGGATAACATAGGGGGCAGAAGAAATGAAACAGTTTTTTTTTGGATTATTGAAACTAAATGGACTGACACTCATGTGGATCTTTGGAAGTGAACTAAGCAAACTCTAGAGAATCAAGAAGTGAAGAAAAGACGCTGGAGCTGAATAAGATTTGCACAGAGAAAGCTTGAGAACAGTATAACTAGAATGTCTTTGCACTGGAACCAACATAAGCATTCTATTGTTGCCTGTTGATGAGATGCCAAACTAAACATACTGTTATTGCCAGTGCCTGCACACTCATTTAGAAGGGCCCAGAATGACTGCATTTACTAAAAAATCACACTTAGATAGGTTTTCCTGTGAAAGCATTGCCTCATTAATTACAGTTATGATGTAGTAACGTCCCTGCTGGCCACATTGTTAACTTGCGACTGGGTAAATAGTAACGTCCCTGCTGACACAGATTTTCCCAGTTCATTCTCTGCTGCAGTCATGGTTACTGATGAGTTCCTGCATTCTGTCTGGAAGTTAATAGTTTTGTTTAGTAGATGACCAGTGTAAAATGTTTGTTTGCTTTTTTCAAAAATGAGTTTTTCCTGAATTGCGTTAGTATGGGTCAAAGGCATTGTTTGTTCTCCATCACCGGGTGCAGGGTTAATAATGTCTGCAATAGCACTTCAACAGAATATAGAAGAGCAGTGTTGAAGAACTCTCAAGAAAAAGGAAAAAAGAGTTGGGAAAAGAAGATGATAAGACTGTGTTGAAGAACCCTGAAGAAAAGTGTGGGAGGAAGATGATGATGAACAGTGTTGAAGAACCCTGCAGAAAAGTGTGGGAGGAAGACAATGATGAACAGTGTTGAAGAACCCTGCAGAAAAGTGTGGGAGGAAGATGATGATGAACAGTGTTGAAGAACCCTGCAGAAAAGTGTGGGAGAAAGATGATGATGAACAGTGTTGAAGAACCCTGAAGAAAAGTGTGGGAGGAAGATGATGATGAACAGTGTTGAAGAACCCTGCAGAAAAGTGTGGGAGGAAGACAATGATGAACAGTGTTGAAGAACCCTGAAGAAAAGTGTGGGAGGAAGATGATGATGAACAGTGTTGAAGAACCCTGCAGAAAAGTGTGGGAGGAAGACAATGATGAACAGTGTTGAAGAACCCTGCAGAAAAGTGTGGGAGGAAGACAATGATGAACAGTGTTGAAGAACCCTGAAGAAAAGTGTGGGAGGAAGACAATGATGAACAGTGTTGAAGAACCCTGAAGAAAAGTGTGGGAGGAAGACAATGATGAACAGTGTTGAAGAACCCTGAAGAAAAGTGTGGGAGGAAGATGATGATGAACAGTGTTGAAGAACCCTGAAGAAAAGTGTAGGAGGAAGACAATAATGAACAGTTTTGAAGAACCCTGCAGAAAAGTGTGGGAGGAAGACAATGATGAACAGTTTTGAAGAACCCTGCAGAAAAGTGTGGGAGGAAGACAATGATGAACAGTGTTGAAGAACCCTGCAGAAAAGTGTGGGAGGAAGACAATGATGAAGAGTGTTGAAGAACCCTGAAGAAAAGTGTGGGAGGAAGACAATGATGAACACTGTTGAAGAACCCTGAAGAAAAGTGTGAGAGGAAGAAGAAGAAGATCAAGCTAATGTTATTCATCAATCTTGTATTTCAGACCAGAAATCAATGGAATGGTGGATGCAACCAGGTTCCCTTCAACTGAGCCATCATTTTACTCACCACTTTGCTATCATCATCCGCCATACACCCTGATAGCCCCCCACTACCCGCAGCATTTCATCCATCCATTCACGGCCCAGGCAGGACATATTGCCCTGCTTCCCTCTCCTCAGCCACATCTAGCAACAAACGAGAGCTCTCCAGCTAACTCGGACACGTCCAGCCCACCCGCCAGTCCGCAGCAGCCGCTGGCTGGACTGGTGCTAGATCACCCGCTGGTGGGGGTTGGGTCGTCCTACCTGCTGTCACCACTGGCTTCTGCCACAGACGGGTCCGAGGTTAAGTCCATGGGCAGGAGCACCAACTCATACCAGCTGGTGGACAGTTCAGGTTCAGAGGAGGAGAAGAAGGCTACAGGCAAGTTGTAACTCTCTCTCTTCTCCTTTGTCTCTTTCTTTCTGTCTCTCTCTGTCTGTTTCTCATTTGTGACTGCCTGTCTCTCATTTCTGTCTGTCTGTCTCTTTCTTTCTGTCTCCCGCTCTCTCTTTCTGTCTGTTTCTTTTTAATTTTCTGTCTGTCTTTCTCCCTCTGTCTCTGTCTGTCCGTTTCTCTCTTTCTATTTGTGTCTCTGTTTATGTATGTCTGTCTCTTTCTGTTTCTCTCCCTCTCTGTCTCTCTTTCTGTCTGTTTGTCTCTTATTTCTGTCTGTCTCTTTCTGTCTACCGATCTCTTTCTCTGTCTACATCTGCCTTGTCACATCTCCCAGTGCATCTGCCTCATCACATCTCCCAGTACATCTGCCTTATCCTTTTTCTCCCAGTGCCCTTATCTCACATCTCCCAGTGCCCCTATCTCACATCTGCCACTACCCTTATATCACATCTCCCAGTGCCTTATATCAAATCTCCCAGTGCCCTTATATCAAATCTCCCAGTGCCCTTATATCAAATCTCCCATTGCCCTTATATCAAATCTCCAAGTGCCCTTATATCAAATCTCCCAGTGCCCCTATCTCACATCTGCCACTGCCCTTATCTCAAATCACCCAGTGCCTTTATATCACATCTCCCAGTGCCCTTATATCACATCTCCCTGTGCCCTTATATAACATCTCCCAGTGCCCTTATATCACATCTCCCAGTGCCCTTATTTCAAATCTCCCAGCGCCCCTATCTCACATCTCCCAGTGCCCTTATATCACATCTCCCAGTGCCCTTATATCACATCTCCCAGTGCCCTTATATCACATCTCCCAATGCCATTATATCACATCTCCCAGTGCCCTTATCTCACATCTCACAGTGCCCTTATCTTAAATCTCCCAGTGCCCTTATATCACATCTCCCAGTGCCATTATCTCACATCTCCCAGTGCCCTTATCTCACATCTCCCAGTGCCCTTATCTTACATCTCCCAGTGCCCTTATATCACATCTCCCAGTGCCCTTAAATCACATCTCCTATTCCCCTTATATCAAATCTCCCAGTGCCCTTATATCACATCTGCTTCATCACATCTTCTATTACATCTGTCTAATTGTCTAATTGCCAAGTGTGGTATTTTGCCAGGACACAGCAACGAGTCAGGAGCTTTCAGAGGTAAAGGTCATGCTAGACCTCAACAGTCGCGGTCACTGCCACTGATAAATCAAGGCCAGCTGCCTGTGACAACCATGGAGGCAGCCCGGTTGACGGGGATGCCCATCTCCATGTCAGCCCCTCACAGCCACCCAGCCATAGCCAACCCTGAAACCAGGACTGCCATGACGCCTCCTCTGCAGGCGGTCACAGCTCCACATGTGGCTGCCAACTCTACCGCTACTCTTGTCAATGGATATATATCTGACCCGCCTCCTGTTCTACCTCACGCAGCATCCGGTGTTGTTCCCAGAGGACTCTTGAACTCTAGAACCTACAAAACTGCCCAGCCGGCTCACACTAGTCTGGGGGTGCACAAGAGTGTCATGAACATGCCGGCTCCTGATCTGTCGCACCCGCTGTCGAACCTGGGCAAGAACTCGGCCAGCACTAACAGCTTGCCCCTCCTCCACAGCAATCTGGGCCCACAGACTTACAGCATGGGGCCTCCCCTGACTTCTGTGCCCCCCACACACCTCATGGGGCCTGCCCTGACTTCTGTGCCCCCCACACACCTCCTGGGACTGAGCCCGGTCAACTTTTCTCCCAACAATATTCAGCTTGGTCATCAAGCATCACCGACCCAAGCACTGCTGCCTGATGGCAACGGGGGAGCATTTCCATTATTAATGTATCCACGGGGCATTCTGACTACAGTTGCCAATGCCACGCCCATCATGGCAACCACGCAGACCCACCACACTGGACCGCCAATGAGTCATTCCCCATCTCCTGCTGCCACAGCCATAGGTACTGATCAGTTACCAGCAGCTCCTTACATGGCAGACCCACTTGATCCAAGCAGATCTGATAGTTCTAGCCACACTCCTCCGGTGCAGACCCCAGTCCATCTTGGTGCTGTCCAGCCTCTAGCAAACACTGGTGGCACCAACTCAGGAACTCCTAGTCCACCCTTGGTTCCTCCCGCTTCTAAACCAGTAGGACCTGAAAACCAGCCAGGAGTGCGACCACAAGTCATTGGGATCATCAGTGGATTCATGCCTCAAGTCCTCTACCCTCAACAGGGCCACCAACCTCCGCCGCAGTTCCCCAATGGGATCACATCAGACTATGGGAGTTGGCTGCGCTTTCCCGCCCAGATTAATTCCAACCATTTCCCGTTTGTATATGGCAGTGTAATTCCCCATCAGAACCTGAGTGGCAGCTTCCACACAACCCCCAACTCTGGTGGGCAAGCAGCTTTAACAAACCAAAGTCATGCAGCTGCAGCAGCCAGCACCAAGGGAAGGTGCTACAACTGTGGCCTGGCTGGCCACAAGTCGTCCGAATGTCACGAGAACCGCATGGAGAATATGACAAGTATGTTCATTTATTGTCTATCTTCCTGTCTCTTTATATTTGAGGCCTTCTTGTCATAAGACCACACTGCATGTGTGTCTACATCTGAGTTGTTCTCTTGTGTCCTCGCCAGTCTTGATCATGTCATAAGACCACACTGTATGTGTGTCTACATCTGAGTTGTTCTCTTGTGTCCTCGCCAGTCTTGATCATGTCATAAGACCACACTGTATGTGTGTCTACATCTGAGTTGTTCTCTTGTGTCCTCGCCAGTCTTGATCATGTCATAAGACCACACTGTATGTGTGTCTACATCTGAGTTGTTCTCTTGTGTCCTCGCCAGTCTTGATCATGTCATAAGACCACACTGTATGTGTGTCTACATCTGAGTTGTTCTCTTGTGTCCTCGCCAGTCTTGATCATGTCATAAGACCACACTGTATGTGTGTCTACATCTGAGTTGTTCTCCTGTGTCGGCAAGCCCTGTGGAAGTCATCTGTAACAGCCGAGAAGTGCAAGAGAAATACAGAAAACCTTGACACTGGGCTGGGCTACAACCTGGTATCAGTGAGATAAATCCAGGTCACTGTGTGTCAAGACAGACTGAGAGGAGTGTCTTCAGACACTTGTTCTGTTGTTACGCTGGTGTCTGTGTGTCAAGACAGACTGAGAGGAGTGTCTTCAGACACTTGTTCTGTTGTTACGCTGGTGTCTGTGTGTCAAGACAGACTGAGAGGAGTGTCTTCAGACACTTGTTCTGTTGTTACGCTGGTGTCTGTGTGTCAAGACAGACTGAGAGGAGTGTCTTCAGACAATTGTTCTGTTGTTACGCTGGTGTCTGTGTGTTTTAACTCTTTTTGTTGACTGCACTTTAATTCATTCTCTATGTGTTGTCTGTGAATGCTTGAATCAGAAAGTAGTGTGTGTTTATGTGTGTGTGTGAGAGAGAGAGATAAAATACTTGCATTAGAAAGTAGTTTACATGTGTATGTATTGACAGTGAATGCTTGAATCAGAAAGTAGTGTGTGTGTATGTATGTATGTGTGTGTGTGTGTGAGAGAGAGAGAGAGAAAATACTTGCATTAGAAAGTAGTGTACATGTGTATGTATTGACAGTGAATGCTTGAATCAGAAAGTAGTGTGTGTGTATGTATCTGTGTGTGTGAGAGAGAGAGAGAGAGAAAATGGTTGCACTAGAAAGTAGTGTACATCTGAATGTATTGACAGTGAATGCTTGAATCAGAAAGTAGTGTGTGTGTCTATATAAAAAAGTAAAAGGTAAAGTTGGGAGATGTGAACTAGCGTCATTCCACACGGTTATTAAACATAAGTGCTCTGGCACCAGTACAGACAGCTGATAAGAAACTCTGCCTGTGATGCCGTCCACACGCAACTCCATAGCTACAGCGACGTTCCTCCGTTTACCCCAGAGTGTTAACTCTGATACCCATTACCTAGAGGCTGGGTGAACCCCGGCAACTGCTCGGTTTCCAACACAGACTGTGGGCTGCATCAAGTCGGAGCTGGATTTAAAAGCAAGTCTCCTATTGACTGCGCTGACACAGCCCCGACAATGTGTCTGTATATTGCCCGTGAATGCTTGCATCAGAAAGTTTTGTGTGTGTGCATGTGTGTATGAGAGAGAGAGAGAATGCGTGCATCAGAATGTAGTGTGTGTGTGTGAGAGAGAGAGAAATTGATTGCATAGGAAAGAAGTCAACATGTGTATCGATTGACGGTGAATGCTCGAATCAGAAAGTAGTATGTGTGTGTCTGAATGCTAGCTTCAGAAAGGTGTGTGTGTGTGGGTGGGTGTGTGTGTGTGAGAGAGAGAGAGTGTGTGTGTGTTTGTGTCAATAACTAGTATGTGTGTGTCTTTGAATGCTTGAATTAGACAGTAATGTGTACTCCTGTGTATTGTCTGCAAATGCTTTCATCAGAAAATATTGTGAGTGCTAATTTCCCATTGTTGTGTTTGTTGGCTGTTTTGCTGAAGCACACATGTAAGTGCTGGCACCAGAAAGTGGTATGCTAATGAAGCACACATGTAAGTGCTGGCACTAGAAAGTGGTATGCTAATGAAGCATACATGTAAGTGCTAGCACTAGAAAGTGGTATGCTAATGAAGCACACGTGTAAGTGCTGGCACCAGAAAGGGTAAACGAACGAACAAACTTTATTTTCAAAGGGTTCCAAATTAGGCACGCAGGCCTGTCTTACATTCGGCCCTTGCAAACTTCCATCTTTAACACAGCAGTTGTATTTCATCAATGAAGCATGTTATATTCATGTAATGATATGCATATTATGGATATGAAGTCAAAAACAAAAGCATGGGTGGTAAAATATGTGTGCACGCTCACGCGCGAACACACACACCCACATACACACACAAGCCCAATCACTCACTTACACACAAACACATAGGCACCCAGTACACACATACATCCACATACACACGAACATGCATACACACACATACATACATACATACATACACACACACACACATACATACATATATACGTACGTACGTACATACATACAAACTCACATACATACATACAAAAATACGTACATACATACACACATACACACGCTCTAAAACACACACGCATACAACCCAGACAAATACAGACACACACACATGCAGTCACGGGCACACACAAAAGCAGGGAAACAGACACACACATAGACATGCGCAACACCCACACATACACAGATATACACACAGTCACACATACGCACACAGACATACACGCAGATGCATAACCCGACACAAGCAGAGATACGCAGACATTATATAATAGACACACCGATAGAGACTCACACTGATACACACAAAGGCACGCACAGCCACAGACAGACACAGATGATGCTAATGTATGCTAATGAAGCACACATGTAAGTGCTGGCACCAGAAAGTGGTATGCTAATGAAGCACACATGTAAGTGATGGCACCAGAAAGTGGTATGCTAATGAAGCACACATGTAAGTGCTGGCACCAGAAAGTGGTATGCTTATAAAGCACACATGTAAGTGCTGGCACCAGAAAGTGGTATGCTTATAAAGCACACATGTAAGTGCTGGCACCAGAAAGTGGTATGCTAATGAAGCACACATGTAAGTGATGGCACCAGAAAGTGGTATGCTAATGAAGCACACGTGTAAGTGCTGGTACCAGAAAGGGTATGCTAATGAAGCACACATGTAAGTGATGGCACCAGAAAGTGGTATGCTAATGAAGCACACGTGTAAGTGCTGGTACCAGAAAGGGTATGCTAATGAAGCACACATGTTAACTGTAAGTGCTGACACCATAAAGTGGTATGCTAACAAAGATTTCTGGTCTGTTTCAGATTCCTTTCACCTCTCATACAAACCCAGTGACCCACCAGCATGACCTCAACTTCTACAGGGTTGTGCCAGTGGCCAAATCTTGAATGGACTGATGTGCTAGCACTGGCTGAGCACTTGTCCTCTCTCAGAGCTGCCCGTCTGTCAGCGCAGTTACAGACAAAATACACACTGTTGAAGGCCTTGTCAGATGTGTGATATTTCAACCCTGCCGTTCCTTGTGATAAATTTAGCTCAGAAAACAGTCACAGACATTCTTTGGTGGCAACAGACCTTGGAAGTTGGTCAATATTTCATGTGTGACATTTTGTATTCATGAATGTTACATTTTGTATGTATGGATATGACAATTTATATTAATGGATGGGAAATGGTTTTAGACAGAAATATGTTTGTACTTACTTAGTCGCTCCTCTTCTACCCTGGGGTGTAGAGGTTTGCCAGAGAGATCCCCAGACTTCTCTATCTGCAGTTTTCTTTTTGACTTTGTTCCATTCCAGCCGTGGGTCAGTCAGGGACTGTTGGATGTTGTCGTCCCAGCAGACTCTGGGTCACCCAGGTGGTCTATATCCTGGTTCTTGGCCTCTCATTCCTGCTGTGAAGGCCGATTCTCTCCCACTCTGCATACATACCCAGACCCATTTAACTGTGACTGATCCACTCAGAGTTTGTACGGCCTGGCTTTCAGTGTCATGGCATATTGTCTGGTTTCGAACTTTGTCCCTTCTTGTCACCTGGATATATGTATGGATGTGACATATTGTCCTTTCTTGTCACCTGGATATATGTATGGATGTGACATATTGTATTTTTGGATGGGAAATGGTTTTAGATGTTTGAACTTGTCAAAATTGTATATGTCACATTTTGTATGTATAGGTGTGACATGTATATAAAGCCCTGTGAGTACACTGGATCTTCAGAACTGTGTTGGGTGTGTACACAGGCTACTCCAGAACTGTGTTGTCTATGTACATAGACTATCCCAGAACTGTGTTATGTGTGTACACAGACTACCCCAGAACTGTGTTGTTTGTGTACACAGACTACGCCAGAACTGTTGGGTGGGTGCATAGGCCATCCCAGAACTGTGTTAGGTGTGTACATAGGCCATCCCAGAACTGTGTTGGGTGTGTACATAGACCATCCCAGAACTGTGTTAGGTGTGTACATAGGCCATCCCAGAACTGTGTTGGGTGTGTACATAGACCATCCAAAAACTGTGTTGGGTATGTACATAGGCCATCCCAGAACTGTGTTGTGTGTGCACACAGGCCATCCCAGAACTGTGTTGGGTGTGTACATAGGCCATCCCAGAACTATGTTGGGTGTGTACACAGGCCATCCCAGAACTGTGTTGAGTGTGTACATAGGCCATCCCAGAACTGTGTTGTGTGTGTACACAGGCCATCCCAGAACTGTGTTGGGTGTGTACACATGCTACCCCAGAACTGTGTTTATGTATACACAGGCTATCCTAGAACTGTGTTGTGTGTGTACACAGGCCATCCCAGAACTGTGTTGGGTGTGTAAACAGGCCACCCCAAAAACTGTGTTGTGTGTTTACACATGTTCTCCAGAACTGTTGTGTGTGTACACAGGCTTTCCCAGAACAGTGTTGTATTTGTACACTGGCTACCCCAGAACAGTGTTTGTTATATGTGTACACAGGCCATCCCAGAACTGTGTTGTGTGTGGACATAAGCCATCCAAAAACTGTGTTGTGTTTGTACATAGGCCATCCCAGAACTGTGTTGGGTGTGTACATAGACCATCCCAGAACTGTGCTGGGTGTGTACACAGGCCATCCCAGAACTGTGTTGGGTGTGTACATAGGCCATCCCAGAACTGTGTTGTGTGTGTACACAGGCCATCCCAGAAACTGTGTTGGGTGTGTACACATGCTACCCCAGAACTGTGTTTATGTATACACAGGCTATCCTAGAACTGTGTTGTGTGTGTACACAGGCCATCCCAGAACTGTGTTGGGTGTGTAAACAGGCCACCCCAAAAACTGTGTTGTGTGTTTACACATGTTCTCCAGAACTGTTGTGTGTGTACACAGGCTTTCCCAGAACAGTGTTGTATTTGTACACTGGCTACCCCAGAACAGTGTTTGTTATATGTGTACACAGGCCATCCCAGAACTGTGTTGTGTGTGGACATAAGCCATCCAAAAACTGTGTTGAGTGTGTACATAGGCCATCCCAGAACTGTGTTGTGTGTGTACACAGGCCATCCCAGAACTGTGTTGGGTGTGTACACATGCTACCCCAGAACTGTGTTTATGTATACACAGGCTATCCTAGAACTGTGTTGTGTGTGTACACAGGCCATCCCAGAACTGTGTTGGGTGTGTAAACAGGCCACCCCAAAAACTGTGTTGTGTGTTTACACATGTTCTCCAGAACTGTTGTGTGTGTACACAGGCTTTCCCAGAACAGTGTTGTATTTGTACACTGGCTACCCCAGAACAGTGTTTGTTATATGTGTACACAGGCCATCCCAGAACTGTGTTGTGTGTGGACATAAGCCATCCAAAAACTGTGTTGTGTTTGTACATAGGCCATCCCAGAACTGTGTTGGGTGTGTACATAGACCATCCCAGAACTGTGCTGGGTGTGTACACAGGCCATCCCAGAACTGTGTTGGGTGTGTACATAGGCCATCCCAGAACTGTGTTGTGTGTGTACACAGGCCATCCCAGAACTGTGTTGGGTGTGTACACATGCTACCCCAGAACTGTGTTTATGTATACACAGGCTATCCTAGAACTGTGTTGTGTGTGTACACAGGCCATCCCAGAACTGTGTTGGGTGTGTAAACAGGCCACCCCAAAAAAAACTGTGTTGTGTGTTTACACATGTTCTCCAGAACTGTTGTGTGTGTACACAGGCTTTCCCAGAACAGTGTTGTATTTGTACACTGGCTACCCCAGAACAGTGTTTGTTATATGTGTACACAGGCCATCCCAGAACTGTGTTGTGTGTGGACATAAGCCATCCAAAAACTGTGTTGTGTTTGTACATAGGCTATCCCAGAACTGTGTTGGGTGTGTACATAGACCATCCCAGAACTGTGCTGGGTGTGTACACAGGCCATCCCAGAACTGTGTTGGGTGTGTACATAGGCCATCCCAGAACTGTGTTGTGTGTGTACACAGGCCATCCCAGAACTGTGTTGGGTGTGTACACATGCTACCCCAGAACTGTGTTTATGTATACACAGGCTATCCTAGAACTGTGTTGTGTGTGTACACAGGCCATCCCAGAACTGTGTTGGGTGTGTAAACAGGCCACCCCAAAAACTGTGTTGTGTGTTTACACATGTTCTCCAGAACTGTTGTGTGTGTACACAGGCTTTCCCAGAACAGTGTTGTGTTTGTACACTGGCTACCCCAGAACAGTGTTTGTTATATGTGTACACAGGCCATCCCAGAACTGTGTTGTGTGTGGACATAAGCCATCCAAAAACTGTGTTGTGTTTGTACATAGGCCATCCCAGAACTGTGTTGGGTGTGTACATAGACCATCCCAGAACTGTGCTGGGTGTGTACACAGGCCATCCCAGAACTGTGTTGGGTGTGTACATAGGCCATCCCAGAACTGTGTTGGGTGTGTACAAAGGCCATCCCAGAATTGTGTTGGGTGTGTACAAAGGCCATCCCAGAATTGTGTTGGGTGTGTACAAAGGCCATCCCAGAACTGTGTTAGGTGTGTACATAGGCCATCATAGAACTGTGTTGGGTGTGTACACAGGCCATCCCAGAACTGTGTTGGGTGTGTACACAGGCCATCCCAGAACTGTGTTAGGTGTGTACATAGGCCATCCCAGAACTGTGTTGGGTTTGTACATAGGCCATCCAAAAACTGTGTTGGGTGTGTACATAGACCATCCCAGAACTGTGTTGGGTGTGTACACAGGCCATCCCAGAACTGTGTTGGGTATGTACACAGGCCATCCCAGAACTGTGTTGGGTGTGTACATAGACCATCCCAGAACTGTGTTGGGTGTGTACACAGGCCATCCCATAACTGTGTTGGGTGTGTACACAGGCTATTCCAAAACTGTGTTGAGTGTGTATACATGCCATCTTAGAACTGTTTTGGGTGTGTACATAGGCCATCCCAGAACTGTGTTGTGTGCGTACACAGGCAATCCCAGAACTGTGTTGGGTGTGTACACAGGCTACCCCAGAACTGTGTTTATGTATACACAGGCTACCCAGAACTGTGTTGGGTGTGTACGTAGGCCATCCCAGAACTGTGTTGTGTGTGTACACAGGCCATCCCAGAACTGTGTTGTGTGTGTACACATGCTCTCCAGAACTGTTGTGTGTGTACACAGGCTCTCCAGAACTGTTGTGTGTGTACACAAGCTCTCCAGAACTGTGCTATGTTTTGTGTACAGAGGCTACCCTAGAAATGTGATGTGTTGTTTGTACCCAGTCTAGCCCAGAAATGTGTTGTGTTTTTGTCTGCAGTGGGTTGGTGTCTTCGTGCAGGCTACAGAGTCTGATCCTTGTCAGTGTACTCACATCTGTGTGTGCCCACTTGTTGTGCAGGCTACAGTCTGATCCTTGTCAGTGTACTCACATCTGTGTGTGCCCACTTGTTGTACAGGCTACAGAGTCTGATCCTTGTCAGTGTACTCACATCTGTGTGTGTGCCCACTTGTTGTACAGGCTACAGTCTGATCCTTGTCAGTGTACTCACATCTGTGTGTGCCCACTTGTTGTGCAGGCTACAGTCTGATCCTTGTCAGTGTATTCACATCTGTGTGTGTGCCCACTTGTTGTACAGGCTACAGTCTGATCCTTGTCCATGTACTCACATCTGTGTGTGTGCCCACTTGTTGTGCAGGCTACAGTCTTATCCTTGTCAGTGTACTCACATCTGTGTGTGTGCCCACTTGTTGTGCAGGCTACAGTCTGATCCTTGTCCGTGTACTCACATCTGTGTGTGTGCCCACTTGTTGTACAGGCTACAGAGTCTGATCCTTGTCAGTGTACTCACATCTGTGTGTGTGCCCACTTGTTGTGCAGGC